TAGGTCGAAATAGACCCTTCTAAATATACTATATACTTAGCCTATCTTCCGGCGAGAGATCTATCTCGGTATATCTACTAATTGATAAGCTTTATATACCTACTTCTCGTTCTTACTAGGGTTGCTTTTAATAGTAATACCTTCCGTTATCTCTACTAGCTTCTTAATACGCTACTAGCCGATATAACCTAGGCGTCTATACTAGGTTTGAATCGATACTTCTACTCTTAGTTCTTAAGCTAACTTCTTAGCCGCGAATACTAAATCCTTAGGTTCGAGTTTAGGATACTAAAGATCCTTCGGCTAGGTCAACTAGGATAGCTTTATATCCTAATAGACTTTGAAAATCGGTTATATATCTTTAGACTTAATATAGTCCCTTCTGAAGTTTATTATAAGACCTCCTTTTATTATCAACCTATAGGATATTAGATTAGTATAGAAATTAGGAGAGTATCTAACGTTATATAACTCTATCCTTACTACCTTTCTACTACTAGGACTAACACTATAGATAACTATAGTACCTACCCCATCGATTTTCGTCTCTATATCTCCTACCTATACGCTACTCTATACGTCCTCGAAAGTCATAAATAACTCTCGATTATTATATATATACATTTATGCTCTAGTATCGACTACCTAGCGCTTTCGTACGGGCTATATATCGTCGATTTAGGTCTAGTTTTAGGTAGATATAACGGTGGTAGAGACGTTAATATACTTACTAGCCGGTAGTATAGTTACCTATGCCGTACTAGGTACTATCTTACTAGCTGCTATCTTACTAGCTACTAGACTAGCTTCTAGACTAGCTTAGGGCTTAGGTTCGGAGGAGAAGAAGCTATAACCTTAGTTTTCAAAAGCGGTATTCGCTTACTCTTATACTTTTACCTTTTGACGTTTCTTATTAACCTAGGCTTTCTAGGCGGGGTTAGCTTTTATTACTTTCTCCTATTTATCCTTAGTATCTTAGTTTCTTATATATAAAGGCGGCTTATTCTTATCGAATACGTCCTAACATTTCTAAGCTAGATACCGGCTATTACTCTAGCTATATAGATAGGGTCTATTATAGAGCTAGGTTTTAGGCTTAGCTTCTTTATAACCTTACTATATCGAAAATATAGCTCTAGAAATGCCTCTCTAGTTAGTAGCTGGCTTACTATAGGTAATTCTCTAGTAAGCTCTATATCGGTTAAGAAGCTCGGTAAACGTAAACGTTATATTATCTACTTTATCTTATAGTCTTAGGGTCTATATTTTATAAAACCTAGGGGATATTACTAAGATAGTATCTAGGAACTAAGTTAGAGCATTATCTACTTCCGGTATTTTCGCTCTCTTATACCTTACCTATATAGTCTCCTAGTTTAATAACTACTTATCGATATCGGTATTCCGATCTAATCCTCGATCTAGGGTACGCTAAAGCTAACGAAGCCTAGCTATATTTATTAGATTATACTCGGCGGCGAATTGTTATCGGAGGTTACGGAGGAGGTTATACGGTATCTTAAAGTCGATAATAAACAGTTAGTAGTTAGCGTAGACGCTATTCCGAATAGCTATTACTACTACGTTTAGTCCTTTCTTCTACTAGGTATAGGCTACGTTATTATTAGCCTATTCTATTTATAGTATCTTATATATATCGACCTATTAGTCTTTATACTATGTTTGTGCTTCTACAATTAAGATGACTTTCTTAGGTACTACTAGTAGCTCTAGTCTCTTATTATTACTAGGATCATATAGCTCCTATACGTCGAATTATACTACAATCGATTTAATATTAGCTAGCTATACATCCTATGTCGTTATATCCTTTAGTATAACGCGAGAGGATATACCCGCGGAGAGGTATTTAGCTATGTTCGTTGTCCTTTATAGATAGGCTTCCGATTCTTGATTTAGGGGTTGGTTTAGGGGTTGGCTTCGGCGACGGGGGTGACGATGTAATGTCACTTTGACCTTAATTCGACGATAGCTGGGTTCAATAGAACGATTCCGGGCTTATAACTGACGGAAAGCTGGTGTACGAACAATGTATGGTGACGGAAAGCTGGTGTACGAACAATGTATGGTATAAATGACCAATGTTGACAACTCTAACTAACTAAAATGACAAAACCCGCTATTTCAACAATCTGTGCGGACAATGATGACTAACTGTAATATGCACTTTTGTATGGTATGCCTGGTACCCAATGTCACATGATGTTTCCGGTATATTACCTGGTTTCTACCATGTATTCGGACTTGGTATTCGACATCCCGTATAGGGACCAACAGTGCTATATACATAGGAAATGGGCTTCTGGGATCTTAAGGGTATATATTAAGAATATACGAATATTAGAGTAAGTAGAGACAAATAAGCTAATAATATCTAATAAACACTATCTATCCTTTTCTACTAAGTAGTATTCAATTTAATTAATTGATTAAATAATATGATTTCCTCGAACAAAACACTTACCTAGTAACTTCCTTTATATTTAATATACGTATAAAGGGCAAGGACTGTAAGAACTAATACTACTGTTAAGAACTATTGACTTCCTATTTACTTAACGTTTATCGGGTTCGTCGTATATAATAGTCAATATACGTTTAGGGTTAACTAATCTACCCGATTTCTATAATTCTTTAACGCCGCCGTACTTAAATACGTTTGCCTATCTTATTCTAATCTAGACCTAGCTAGCTATTTTTTGATTAACCTACGATATACTAAGTTAGGGAGCTATATTTAATCACCGCTCCTAGGATTATACTTATAGCCTCTAGGAACTTAATTTCCTCTAGGAACTATACCTATTACTCCTAGGAGCGAGATAGATCGTTCCTAGGCTCTCTACCTTAGATCTTAGAGCTATACCCGTCTGTTTACGGGGCCCTCTAGTCCTCTAGGAACTATAGTTACGCTTCCTAGGATATATATAGGTCGTTGTTAGAGATTTATATAAAGTATATAGGATAGATAGAGATATAATCTACGCGGGACCTATATAGTATATCTAGGTTCCCCTAAACGCGAGGAAGCTACCTTTCTTTTGTTTCCTCGCGCTACGTCTTATATCTAGAGTCGACTATAGCTTTCGTTAATATTAATTACTTATCGGAATATACTATCCTCTACGGATATATAAGACCTTATATTTGTACGGGGGAACTCTATAGGGGTAAGATAATCTAAGAGCTACTATAGTATTACTTCTAGGCACGCTCTTAGTCGCTTCTAGGAGTTAAATTATAGGTCTCTAATAAGAAATTATTTTAACCTACTCGTAAGGACTACCTACGCTCTATTCCTAGCCCTTAGGTTAACCTTATTATCCTTCTCTCCTTTGCTTCCCTCGATATTTTTTCCTATAGTACGGATAGATCCTAGGAGTATCGTTAAACTTAGTTTAATAGATAAATATAATTATCGGGTTTATCTTATTTAGAGAATTTATAGTATCTAATTATAGTATAGTAGAGAATAAGGTAGATATAGTATAAGCTAGAGAACTAGGTATCTATATATAGTTAGCGTATCTCTTATTCCCGCTAAGAGTACTACTAGACCTAAATAGGCAAAATATTATCTATAATCCCTCTAATATATAAGAGTGCCTCGGGAAGATTATAGTTTTTATAGTAGTCGTTTATATATTATATTTTATAGAATATCTTAACCTAGTATATTAAGGGAGCTATCCTATACCTTATATACGTACTTAATTGCTAAAAGAAACTATAGTTTCTAAACTACTAGCGTTATAAAAATCTCGCCCGGTATATAGTAGAAATTTTGATTTTTAGTAGGGGTGACTATTATATTTAGGTTTCCTTTTTTTCCCTACGGATAGTTGATCGTGCCTATCCGCTCTCCTATTAACCTTAATTAGAGATAATCGGTATTAAGCAAACCCCTTCTCCTATAAATACCTTACTAGGCGTCTCTAGCCAAATTTCTATCTATAAGGCCTATTGTCTAATAAGAGATATAATTACGAAGATAGTATAGGTATATCGCTTTATCTTCTACGAGGTCTACTAGTAACTATAGGGAGTTCCTAATGCCTTAGACGTATATAGAGATCTTAAAATATATAGAGTTAATGTAGGTAATCCTATACTATTTATATATAAAAAGAGGATATTAGCTGACTGCTAGCTTTATATACGCTATATTTATAGGAAGATTACGTAATATACGCTCTATATAGGCGGTTTGATTAGATTAAGGAAGAGGGGCTTTACGAGTGAAGAACCTAAGATAATGATCCTCTATACTATAACTGTACTTAGTGAATGATTTAGAGAGGGGCCGAATCTTTAAGTACTAACGAGACTAATTTAGGTATCCCGTAAACGTAGAGTCGACGCGTTATATCGTTTGCCTAGAAAAGGTCAAACGTATTGATGCCTTAGGTATCTAAGCGAGTCACGGGGTGAGTAGGTTATAAAGACCTTAGGCGTGCTTTGATTATCGACTTTTACCGCTCTACTTTGAAATGTCGACCGACTCTATAGCGACCGAGGGTAGTAAAACGACGACTATAGGAGACGTAAAACTTCTTCGTATATCGTGAGAAGGAAATACACTTTCTACCTATTAAACTAGCGATCTTATTCTTAATACCTATATTTCTGTCGTTATCTATATATTTCGAGGCGAAATACGCTTCTATATATGCTTCGATACCACCGAATTATAATGCTAGCCGGGCTTCCGAACTTAAGGGCTTTTTATAACGATATACTATTATAAAAGCATCGTAAAGGTTTATTTAATTTTAATACCTAGCTAAGACTATCGTATACTAACCGAAAATATTGCGATAAGCGCCTAACCGCTCGACTACCTTAAGGAACGAGATTATCTATATAACTTTCTAGGTATACTGTTAGACATATATTCTATTAGTAGGCCTCTCTCTACTAAACTCCTTTAAAAATTTCTTATTTGATTCGGCGGCTAACTTTAAGTATTTGTAGTTTACCTAGTTGACGTTAGCCTTAGCGAGAGCGTATACAATTGCTGCGACGTTTTTGATCTAGTTTATAATTGGTTAGTAAGTGAGATATTTAGTGCTACTCGGATACCTACCTCTCGTCTATTTAGAGCTAAAGACTCTAATCGTCGGAGTTCGTAGTCCTTAATAATAGTAGGTCCTTATATCGTATATACCTTAGATAGAAAAGTTAACTAGAGATCTCTACGAAACTCTCTCGTTAAATTCTTATACTTAGTAATCAAATGGATCCGGCTAAGAATTACGTTATAAAACTAGATACCCCGATTTAAAGTTAAGAAAAGAATTCCTTAATAATATTCTAGCTTTCGGAGAAAAATGGTTATAAGGCGATTATAGGTATTATAGTAAGATATACGCTACTCTATAAACGCGTCTGCCTTATCTAAGAGAAGTACGGTATTAAAGTATTTAGCGATCTTAAATACTATTTTAAGTTATTACTTAAGCGTATTAGAATCTCCGTAGTTAATAATAAGTTCACCTATAGATATCTAGAAACATTAGTAACGCTAAATTCAGCCGAGCTAGATAGTTTATACCGAATAGAGGGGGAGCTTAAAATACTCCGAGGTTACCTTAACCGTAAAAGTCTTTCCGACTCCCGGTAGGCTACTAGTATAAGTTAGGTTAGGAAGTCTTAATAGTATAGACGGTTTGCCGATATACTTTAGAAGAATGTTAAATCCTTAGCACTTTCTATTAATTACGTCGTCGAACGGTACCGTCGGTATTATCCCTAGGCGGGTTTTCGCTAATAATAAAAGGATAGTCTTAGTCTCTAAAGGGATCTTTAGGCAGTCGAACGACTTAGGTAACCAATCTACGTCCCTAAGAGCACTGACTACGTACTCTACTAGAATCATATTAGTCCGAGGCCAAATATTATTAGTCGTCTAATATATAGAAAATTTTCTCCTTAAAGCTAAAATAGCATACTATTAAGGTAGGCGACTAAGAAATTAGTCTCGCTTAGCTCTTATATATCTATACCGTCTCCTTATATTCTCTCCTTCCCTCGCTCGCGGTCCTCTATAAGCATCGTACCTATATTAATAACTATAATACTATTCTTGTCTTTTACCCCTATATCGCGGAGTGACGGTCGGGAGTAGTTTGGCTGTATTTTATAGAAGAATACGGCGTCTACTGCCACTCGGCTGTTAATATTGATTTTGAAAATGTTCCCCTTATTTATAAAGAATGCGCTACCTTTATAGTACTAAATATATAAGCCTACTAACCCTAGAAACTTTTGACCTCTCTCGACTAGGTCTTTTCGGGCCTCCTCGTGACTCGGATAGTAGTAGAGAGGGTAAGCTTTAAGAGTCGCGATCGGCTTTAACCCTCGGAACTTTGGTATACGTAGAAAGATTCCGGCCTTACCGAACTTAACTCTATTATAATCAAGAAATCGGCATTCGAGATTGTTGGCACTTTAGCAGATATAATATTATAGCCTATAATTAGGTTATAATATTTTAGTAGGGAAGTAGTATTAGGTAATCTTTATAACTTATATAATTATATTATATAAGATATAAAGGGTTATACTTAACTAGAATAGGAATTAATATAAGAAGTAGAAGTCAAGTTGACTGTTGTCATGCTTATATTATTATAACATACTAGCTAAGTAAGGAATTTCGATTCCTTATATAGCTAGTTAGGAGGCAATTATGAGATAATGTAATATCTCATAATGTTATAATATGACTTCACTATATATGGTAAATATCATAATATAACCTCACTATATATGGCAGATAATAGTGAGTCATAATATAGTTTACTATATATCATATATCTAAGGATCACTTAGATAGTACCGGTAAAATATATATAGGCTCCTTTCCTATTATAATAATATATATATTATATAATACTATTATGCTAACAGAGATTAAACCACGTCTCGTTATTTTAGGATATTTCTTCTCCCGCGTCGAATTTGATATATCGCGGCTCTTTTATACTAATATATATGGTATAAATATGGCAACTAGGCTTAAAAAGCGCCTAAAGAAGGTTATATATAATATGACCGTACTATAATATTAATTCGAGACGCTACGAGGTAGAAGTATATACCTACTTAAGGTGGTTAATAAGTAGGCGGAGATACTCCGTATATACCGAGATATAGTACGAACTATTATCTATATTCTCTACGTATCTATCGAGCTCCGGGAGGAAATAGAAAAGGACGTTCTACTCGATCTAAATCTAGGTCAGCGTTCTCTTCGAGATTTCACTTAGTCTTAATTACCGATAGCTTGTCCTCTATCAGGCTAACGGCCTTAATATCGTATAGCACGCCTCGCAGGATGTCGCGTAGGCCTTCCGACTTAATATTTATAAATAGAACTACCTCCTCGGACGTTCGGTCTAATTATATTATTAGTAGATTTTTAGTCCGGTATATAAAGGCCGTATATATAGGTTTTACGTACTAATACATTTATAGATAACGAATGTATAGTTAGCGTAGTTATCTAGGTCATTGCTAGACTCCGTTAGCTCGGCAATCTTATATTTATATACTTCTTTATCCTAGCTAGACCCGTGTTAGCTATCTAAAAAAGTGGAAGGGGTAGTTAGCTAGTGGCTTATACGTTTCTATAACTGTTTTAAATTGGGATTTTGATACCTATTTCTTAAACGACTTGAAATCATCCGGTATGGTATAGATCGGGCTTTCGAGATTAAGCCTATCTACCGCCTAGACTTTCTCTGCCTACTTATTACTAGAAAAGTAAGACTAAGAAGGCTTAGAAGGCTTATTTGCTATAGGAGGCTTAGCTAAAGAATATCCTTTACGGATAACCTTCTTTAATAGTTACTTTAGTTGGACTATATCGGGGCCTAGTAGGGAATGTTCCTAGAAGATAGGAGTATTTAGAAGGTCTTAGTTAGTAAGATCGAATAGCACCTTTTTAAGTACGTTAAAGAGCTACTTTAGGTCCTTTATGGTAGCTTAAGGCGTAGCCGACCCTTTTATTAGGCTATCTAGAGGCGTTAGGCCTTAGTGACTAGGAGAGGAAGTTTCTAATGCTATATTATACTCGAAGGTTCGATAAGATAGATTGGCTGATTTAGCTATAGAAACAAAAGGTTGATATAGTAAGGTTAGTAAGAGTTTGAATCTTAAGGAGGGATATACTATATTATAAGTTTGCCTCACGAGATGATCTTTAGTCTACGTGATATCCTATAGTAGGTTATATAAGACCTCGTTCTAAAAGATTAACTCGTTCTATCTAGTATAATCCCTCCTTTGATTTCCTTCCGCCTTAAGATAGTACGGTGGGATAGGCGATAAGAACCACTTTTCTTGGTTATAAATTCCTTAAAGCTTTAGCAAATTCCCTAGGTAACTATATATATCACATATTCCTAGCCTATTGTCCTATTTGCCTATACGCTGTACGCGTGGCTGTGTGCTGCGGGATCTATATAGCCTAGTTCATTGGGTAGGTTCCTTACCCCGCTCTAGTCTAATATTGCTTAAAAATCGGGTATATTAACCAATGTTCCCGGTCTATAATATATTTCCTATTCCTATATCTCCTCTTCCCGATAATCTTCGTTAACTAATTTTTTGGATTATAGACGGGTATACCTAGACAATCAGCTTATTAGATAGCTTTAATCCCTAGTCTCTAGCCCTAAAAGATTTAGAGGAAACATTAATCTCTCTAAAGCGGTAGCTACTAAAAACCGAAGCTACGAAACTATTACTTCCTATAAAGGAATTACCCTTTAGTCGTGTTTTATTAGGGCGACTATTAAGTTTGCTTAATCTAGTATTTAAGCCTAAAAAAAGGTACGAACTAAAGTTAGTAGCTCTTAGGGTATTAGACCCTATATCTCTAGTTATTTACGGCCTTTATCTTACCTAGAAGGCTGTCGATATTATACGGAAGGAGCTTTTCGACGTGTTATTAGAATAGGCTATAATTGCTTCTTAAGCTATTATTTAGGTCATCGCGAAAAGCGAAGAAATAAATAGGGTGATTTTAAGCTTATCTATTAACGAAGAATTTCTATAGAGTAAGTTCTCTACTAGTACTTAACGAGTCGGCGCTAACAAAACACTAGATTATCTTAGCCTAAGACGAATCACTAACGGTACTATAAGACTAAGCCTTTAATATTCTCTTAACGGAAGTCCGTCTTAGTATTATTCTAAGATCATAAAGCTAGAATCAATATAGGCAATATTCCCTCGTTTGATTACTAAAGTAACTCGCGGTTACGTCACGACTTTCCTTCTATTAGAAGGATCTATAGATAGAATGATCAGAATAATGACTATATTTAATCAAAATATCCTTCGGACTTTATTCGGCTATATAGAGACTAATATAATGGCCGCTAGTAAGTAACTTATATATTACAACTAGATATACGCTAACCTAGAGATAGAACGTTTTTTAGTAGGCTTTGTAGTAAAGAATCAGATTACTATAGCGTTTGGCGAGGACGTCTTTAAAGCTATCATAAGTAGTCAAGCGTGGAGTTAAGAAACTAGGGAGATCGAGACGAAGTGTTTGAAGGTAGATATATATCCAGCGTAACTCATAATGATCAGTCTGACAGTTAGCTAGATATTATACTACTATTTTATAAATTCAATTTATAGGTTATAGACTTTTAGCTAATCTACCCTTTACCCGGACGCGTATACCTAGTAGTAGCTTTATTTATCCGCTACCTTTAGTTCGAAATAGGGTTAAGCTATCTCTATTTTAAAACAATATCTCCTTACAGCAGTCGTACGCAAAAAGTTGCTCGGTCGGGGATACTTCGATTTAGTAGGCTACTCTCTTATCAGACTCTTAAAATATAATTTTCGTAAAGTTTTACTAACGGCTTTCCTACTCGAGTCAGATAGAGTTCTAATATACTTCAGGATATATATCATACTAGATCGGATTTTATGATAATCGTGTTCTACGCTATCCCTTAGTATAGGTGATACCTTTAAATCGAAGTTTGTCTAATAATCGCGTAGTTGCGTAGTAAGTTTGTAATTTTGTTATAAGGCGTAGGAAAGTGTCTTTAGTCGTAAGAATCGACGTCTTTTACGTGTCTATATCCGGTTAAGGGGGATATTGACTATATTTATACGGTAGGAATATATATAATCCGCGTAAGAGCCTATAAAGTAAGAAAATGATATAGATAGTAAGCGAACAAATTTTAGTAGGTTGAAGTTATACCGGAGTAGATAGGACAAAAGTAGGGGTAGGCAATAATATAATTAATAAGGCCCGATACTACCCGAAGTTAGGTACCTATACCTTACCTATCTCTTTATTAACGAATAACTTTAAGTATATTTCACTAAATTGGACTATATAACCCTAGCAATTGTTAGCTCCTCTAAATAGGTACTATGTTTTATAACGGAATTAATAGGTATAACTATAGATCTAATAGTGGTAATAGTAAGATTGGCGAAGGGCGTCACTATTTAAGTAAACGTAGACGGAAACTTACTATCTTATAATTAGTCATTCTATATATTACCCCTCGTAAGATATCCTTATTCTACGAAATGTATATATAGTCGGCCGCTTTAACTAGCGTAATACGTTTACGTAGGATGTATAAGACTATATGCTTAAGGATCGTTACCGTTAAGAATACGAGATTAGATTAGGTAGATTATAACTTACTATTCTCTATTCAAAATTACTCGAACTCCTAGTAAAACTTCCTAGGTAACTATATATTATATATTCCTAGCCCACTATCCTATTTGCCTATACGCGGTGCTCGTAGCTATACGCTACGGGTCTATATAGCCTAGTTTATTAGGTAGGTTCCTTACCCCGATCTAGTCTAATATTGCTTAAAAATCGGGTATATTACCTAATATTCCCTATCTTATAATATATTACGTATTTCTTTATCCTTTCTTCCCTAAGTTTTATCTTTTTAGATATTCACCTGATTTAACGTACCTAATAACAATCTTCTATATATACCGATAGCAGCTACCCTTCTCGCTATACGTAGGAGACGGGCGCGTAGCACTTATAGGCCAAATCTTACGAGCCTATCCCCGTCTACCACACTCTAAGTAAGTCAGCGACACTTATTTAGCGATAAGAGTATCTATAGTTCCTATACCGTTAAATACTAGATCGAAACCGACTTATTAGAAGAGGAATATCTAATTTATTCAAGATAACTTACTACTTCCTAATACTTTCCTTTCCCTAAGATAAGGAATAACTTTTACGAATCCTACTCTCTTAGGTACGTCTAGCTATAAGTCTATATCTAATATATTCGATAAACTTACTTAGGTTTATCCTAGTATATATACCGTTAACGTTTTAATAAAAATCTATAAGTACGGAGATAGGACTACAGAAGATATTAGGTTTAAGCCTTACCCTAACGTCGGTACCCCCGCTTACCCGGGTCGTAAGGAAAACCCTTTAGGCTTAAGCCGGGTAAAAGGAAAATGTAGAATATAAGGTTATAGAAACCTATAAATCCCCTTAGCTAATTCGAAGGGGATAAAGGGATTTTGATTAGATTGTTTGGTTAGCAAAGGATTTCGATTCTAGTTTATTCTTATATTAGGTTTAAAGAAAGAAGGATAGTAAATAGATTTATATATTATTAAAAGCTACTTAAGCTATATTATACCTATCCCTAGAAGCTTCTATCGTACCGAAAGACAAATTTTGATCTCGAATAAGCGACGCTATATCACTATATCGATCTATCTAATATCCCTATATCACGGTACTACTAGTAAGACTATTAACTAAAGGATATTTTTAAGACGTAAAGAGAGTGTCTACTCGTTCTTTATAGTCATTCTTCTCTATTATAGATAGGAATAGCCTAGGGGACTTATAGGGCTAGTAGCCGGTTATAATCGTATAAAAGACCGACCCGAGACTAAATATATCTATAGCCTCTATTGATACCTATGGCTTATACGGATTGAAAAAGCCGGAGTCGGGGAGATGTCTACTATCTATATCGCTATTCGTCGGCCCTCTAAAATCATATAGTAGAAGATTAAGCTTACTTTTAGAATCGGAGTATAATAAAAAATTCTCTAGCCGTAAGTCGGAATAAATGACTCCCTTTTAGTGGATATAGTAGACGGCTTCTACTACCTAGTAATACTATTTTAAACGAAGAGATAGGTCGATAGTATTATTATACTAGTCAATATAAGCTTATAGATTACTATCGCTAGCTTCGCTAAAAAGCAATCTACGAGGTTCCTTAGAGATACTAATATAGCTATAGTAGAAATAATATTAATAATTAGACCGTTTGGCGTTTAGCTAACATACTATATTATTCTAGGGTACGTCCCTAATATATCGAAAAGTCGCTCTTTAACCTCGAAACTACGCTTAATATCCTTAATAAATAAGGATACGTCCGCCGCTCCGGAATACCACCACGTATACCTAGGGGATTTGATAACGATACCCGGTTTTAGTCTTACTATTAATAAAGTCGACCCTTAGCTTAAGGTTTTACCGAGCTAAGGTTTATAGAGGACCGGGTCTACTATTTTGCCTAGTAAGATAGCTTGATATTCTTTAACTAGTCCTAAAACGTGGTTCTTTACGACGGCGGGAGAATCATTTTCCGTTAAGGGGTGTCCGTACCTCTTAATATCGTTATACTTTCTACGTACGAACAAATAATTTCTAATAGGCGAGGGTAATATACGACTAAAGAGGCCAAAAGAACTATATAGGTAGTACTTTAGTAATTTATAAAAAGCCGAGTAATATTTCTAGAAGTACGCTAATATTTTAGAGAGCTATAAGGAGGGTTTTCAATAGCTATCTAAAAAGCGTTTAAGGGTGAATTTGTTATATAATCAACGGTAAAAGCAAACACGTTAAACAAGATAGCAACTATAGGGCTAGCTTAAGTACTTCTAATAAATTAGATAGTAGCCTATAAGCGCCAGAAGAATAGGAGTTATTTCGGGATAAATATAAGACCGGGTCAAATTTCTCGACTAGAGCGGATAGATCTATATTATTTCTCTCTAAGGCTATATATAGTATTACTATATAATATAACTCTAATTTAAAAAGAATTCGATACTATCTATTACTATATCTTATCCTATATAGCCGAAATAAGAATAGAAAGAAAGATAATTTTAAGCCGGATACCAGGATCGTAAGCTCTTACTCCTACGGGAGCCTTAACTATAAGAGCTTTTACTTCTTAGTTTTCTCGTTTTATACGTCTAACTACTAACTGTCTAATAATAGAAGGCTATATATCATATAAACTAGCTCTTTATACTACTTATCTTCTAGTCTAATCATTCTAGGCCTAGACCAGTCTTAAGGTAGTCTAAATGCGATAGAGTATATAGACGGCGATTAAGTTAGACTACTACCCTATCTAGTAAGGATTGATTTTATTAGCTTATCAGCTTACTATAGGAGCGGGTCTCTACAGTGGCTTTTATAGACCTAGAAAGTCTACGGAAAGATAATGAATATAACCTATTATAGTCGAGGACCCTAGACTAGACTATACTAGTTTTATAGCCTATAACAAGTTATGGTTCGCTAACAAAAATTCCCGTAGTTATAGTCTCGTATTAACTATAAGATATAGCATCGACTAAGGTCTAGGGCGTATACGGCATTTTCGCTATTAGCCTATATAACCGAGCTATAATTTCGAGTTTTCACCGATAGGGTAGAGAGGGACCGGAAAGGCCGACGATAACGACAACTAGGTGTTTAGCTAGGCAACCGGGAGCTATTCTATAAAGCTAGGGCTATACAATATAACCTTAGGTAGGGCGGCGGGAGAGGGATATATAGCGTCGAGGGTATACTAGCACTTCGTAGAATTAAAGGGAGGCCCGCGGAATCAGAGACGAAAAGGCGCATTAGTAGAGGGACGCCTAGATATCTTCGTAGTATAGTGCTCAGTCACTACCCTAGGGAAGGAGTAGGACTATCGATACGAAAGGACACGACGCTATATCATCCTAGTGGTTACGCTTCGGGGTGATAGGTATTGTAAGCTAGATATCGGATTAAGCGGCAATTCCGGTAAAAATGAAAGGGGCAGTACGTCGGGCTGAAAGCAAATGCGTAGTAGTAGGTAGGGGCTAGAGTAAAAGAAAGGGGGAGGCGATAAGTGTAAGATAGAGAGGCAGAAAAATGGAAAAGTGAGAGAAAGGGAGGAAGAGCAGGGAAGACGGGTCTTTTTAAGTTGGAGGGCACTCATGGTAGGTTACGTGACAGCGTATTGGGGGCGCTAAACCCAAAAAGGCAAAACTAACCGTATATAGTAATTCACAGGTCCGCCGTTTACAACCTAGAAATCGAGAGTAGGTGACTATTATTGAGTATACGAATGCTTCTAGCTAGGCCCTTCCTCCGTATATGATTTTTAAAGGCAAAGTCTTTATTAAATCATAGTTCGACGGCCTCCCGGAGGATTAGCGCTTCGAAGTTAGTCCTAACGGCTAGACCTCCGATGAAATTAGGCTTCGTTGGCTTAAGAAGCTCTTTATTCCTAGTACTTCTTTACGTACGAAGGGGGGGGTATCGGCTTTTGATACTCGACGGCCATAGAAGTCATTTAATACCTCAATTTGACGAAATTTGTGAGCAAAATAAGGTGATACCAATCTATATACCAGCGCATTCATCTTATCTTTTATAACCTCTTGATATAGGTTGTTTTGCGGTATTAAAACGATCGTATAGTCGGATGGTTGAAACTAAGATACGGAACGGGATTAACTATATTAACAAACTTGACTTCCTCGAAGTATACCCTCTCGCACGAATTGAAGCTTTTAAATCGGAGACAATTAAGAATAGCTTCTTAGCTACCGGTTTAGTACCATTTGGACCCGACCGAGTGATTTCAAAGCTTAATATCCGGCTTCGAACCCCGACCCCCCCTACTAGCCGGGGTAGTGAATCAAGCCGGAATTTTACCCTAAAAACCCCTTTTATAGAGAAAGACCTACGTCGACAAGCTTTATCAATTAAAGCTTTACTTCGTACAAGATCTCGAAGCCCGCCTAGCCCGTCAGATCGTATATTAAACCAGCTTATAAAAGGCTTCCGTCTTACAATATAAGGTACTATCTTACTCGCTAAAGAAAACAAGGAATTACAGGCCGCTAACGAGAAGTAGAAGCAAAAGCGCACTAGATCCCGGAGGCAGATACCCGCAGAAGAAGGCCTCTCAGTTCAAGAAGCATCTGCATTAATTATGCAGCAATAGGAAGCAACTAAAGCACCTCCCCCCGGCCCCGGCATACCTAGAGAATCTGCTATTCAGCCACGTATACGGGGCTAGCGAGGGTGTGGGATATACAGAATGCCAGGGCATAGAAGAGAAACATATCTAGATAGACCACTTAGTTAGTTGAATTAATTTAATGGCGTTATGGTTGAGATAAATGCATTTAAATTTAATGGGTTAGATGGGGTGCGCCACTCGGTGGTATGCGCCGCTCGGTAGTGAAATACGTTAACCATTTTATGCCTGTAATAATAATTAACGTTTTGTGAAATGAACCTATATATATTTAATTCAATATTATTCTAACCTACCTAAATATGCGAGTCGCCAAATAGTTACTTGTTTTAAAAGGTGAAATTTGGTAATTTGCTTACGCAGGTCTCTGTCAAGGTAATTCAAGGTATTTTAATTTCTGCCAGTCTAAAATCAGACATGCGCCCTTAGGCCGCTATACACCTTTGCACATGTCCCTGCCGGACAATCGTCTTCCACCAATCACACACATGACGAAGGTGAGGCTGACAGCGGCCCGCTGCCTGCAGCCTCGCCGAAGAGGAAGAGGAGGGGCAACAAGGTTATATATTACTTTTTCCCGACACTTCCTCTCCAATTTAAGCATCCCGAGCATCTTCGGCTCACCTAGCACCCCCATCCTATTTCGCATCATTTGAAGTAGAGAAGATGGACCCGCTCAGTCTTACCACTGGAATCATCAGTCTCTTGGTGATTAGTAACAAAGTCACCCAGTACATCAGCAATCTCAAAGATGCCTCAGAACAGCGCCAGAAAATCCTAAACGAGCTTCTGCTCATGACAGGCTGCCTGACTATCCTGAAGGTAAACGCGGAAAAGATGGAACTGCTCCCACAAGCGTTCCTGTCTCTATGCGGCGAGGATGGCATCCTCTATCAATTAAAGGATTGTCTCCAGACCCTGTGGGATCGGCTGCAACCTGGTGTCGGTTTTAGAAGGTTCACCCGGAGGGTTCGATGGCCGTTCCGTAAGGATGAGGTGGATGATTTGTTGAGGACAATGGAGAGGTACAAGACTATTCTCGTTCTTGTACTTCAGAGCGACAATGCGTAACCATTCCCTCCCCTAACCAGCTTTCTGGTTCTGGGCTGATAGTACGCGTGATAGTTCTCTATCAACTGCAATCCAGGAGAATGTGACAACCTTGCGGGAAGAGCAGGAAAGACGCCGACAGAGTCAACAGACCCTTGAGATCCTTAACTGGCTGTCGCCATTGAAAAGTATCGGTACTCACTCGGATATCTTCAGTCGATATCATGACGGGACCCTGAGCTGGATTCAAAAAGATGAACGCTACAAGGCTTGGTTGGACGGCTCCTCAAACTCTGTCTGGTGTTTTGGAATACGTGAGTAGCTCCACCAGTCTCCTATGCTGTTCATTTGCCGCTGACTCTGTGAAGCTGGGGCCGGGAAAACCATTCTCGCGTATGTATAATCGCGATCAACTTTATCAGCTCATCCAACTTATTGAACCAGGTCTGTGATAATTAACGACGTGAGCAAGAAATTTCCATCCCACGGGTTGGCGTATCTTTACTGCAACCACAAAGACACAGACACTCAAAATTTGGTCAATCTCCTAGGAAGTCTCTTGCAACAGTTGATTCTTAAACTAGGAACTGCACCACAAGAGGTGCGCTCCGCATGCGAGCTACACAGTAGAGAGATGTCGAGGCCCACGGCGAGCGAATATCTGCTTCTTTTGCAGTCTCTGACATCTAGATTTCCCGGAACATTCATAGTAATTGATGCCCTGGACGAGCTGTCTCCATCAGAGTCAACGAGTCAGCTGCTCATCACGATGTTACAATCGCTTCAGCCATCAACCAGGCTGCTGGTCACCTCGCGACCGATCCCAAGTACGAGTCGCAACTTGAGCGATTTCGCCAAAATCGAGATCGTTGCGCAGCGGCAGGATATTGCCCGGTATGTCAAAGGCTTCATGGCGCAGAACGCCCGGTTGACGCAGATCCTGGCGGATGACTTGGAGATGAGGGATGATCTTGCTGAAAAGGTTGTCAACAACACGCAGGGAATGTAAGCTACCTTTAGACAAGTTGATATCTAGAGTAAAAGCTGATTGTTCTTCAGGTTCCTAATTGCGAAATTGCAAATGGAGGCATTGGCCCAGAAGTCAAACCGAAAGGCCATCCGACTAGCTGCATCTACGCTGCCTTCTACAATCTCAGACAACTACCGCGAGGCCATAGAACGAATTCTGTCGCAAGATGCTGAAGATGCGAAGCTTGCGCGTGAAATCTTGTCCTGGGTAGTCTGTGCCGTTCGGCCGTTGACCGTATCAGAACTACAGCAAGCGCTGGCCGTTGAGCCAGGGAAAACTTCCCTCGATGAAGAAGCTGTGATAGATCAAGATATTCTAATATCTGTGTGTGCAGGTCTCTTGGAACTTGAAGAAGAAAAGGGGACTGTACGGCTAGTGCATAAGACAGCACAGGAGTACATTGATCGAATGCGCGAGGAATACTTCCCGGATGCTCAGCAGAAGATCCAGAAGACCTGCCTTGAATATCTTTCCATGGAGGAATTCATCCATCTGTGTCAGTCAGATGAAGAATTCGAGGCAAGGCTGCAGCAGTACCCATTACTTGATTACGCTTCAAACCACTGGCCATCCCATTTTTCTCCTACAGGGATCAACGGAGAAATCCGAGGTCTGATCCTGTCTTTATTGACAGACGAGGCACGTGTCAGGTCTATCGGACAAGTCCTCCTGGCTCCAACGTACAGACACCACAATTACAGCCAATCAACACCTCGCACTCTCACCGGAATCCATCTACTAGCATACCTAGGTGCTACGGAGCCCCTGTCCCTCCTCAAGAGCCAGCTCCCCAATATAATAGACTCCAAGACCGACCGGGGCCGCACCGCAATCTCATACGCCGCAGAGAGAGGCCACCACCTCTTCATCCAAGAACTCCTCCGCCTCAGCACCGTCCCCTTCGACCTCAATTCCAGAGACGCCGTCTATGGCAGAACCCCGTTATCCTGGGCTGCGGGCGAAGGCCAAAGCGCTGCCGCCGAAGTCCTCATCCGCGCAGGAGCAGACATAGAATGCGAAGATACCGACTACGGCCGCAGCGCTCTCAACTGGGCCGCCGGCCTTGGCCACCTAGATACGGTCAGAGTGCTCATCCGGCACGGCGCTGAGGTTGACGCGTCCTCATGGTACGGCCGGACATCGCTCTCGAGAGCAGCAAGCAGAGGGCATCTCGAGCTTGTCCGAGTCCTGATAGAAGAATTCGGCGCGAGTCCACACATCCAGGATACGAAGTACCCGTATATCCCACCCTCGTGGTCATCTTGGGACTCGAAGGACCACGATCAGCGTCCAACGCAGGATAAGTTGATCGATGCGGACTCTAAGGCTTTCGATGGTGGGCGCCCGCCGCTATCATGGGCGGCTTGGGGCGGCGACACGGCTGTGATCAGCCTATTGCTTTTCCATGGCGGGGACGTCAACTTGCGATCGGAGAACGGGCTTACTCCCTTATCCCTCGCGGCGGGCAAGGGACACGTTGATGCCGTCCGGCTGCTCCTAGAGCATGGCTCGCCGATCAATGTGCCCTGTAACTGGGGTCGAACTCCGCTTATACGAGCAGTGATCAACGGGCATATTGACGTCGTCGAGGTCCTGCGTGGGCATGGTGCCGATACCGAGATCCAGTGCATGGATGGGAGGACGGCCCTGTGGTATGCTGAAGACCGTGGCTTTGCGGAAATTGTCCAGATCCTACGGGTGGCGAAGGAAGATGCTTCTTGGGTTAAAGCGGAAGCAGTAGAAATAACAGTGACAGAGACGTGACCGTCATAGAGGATATTCTACAGTTACTTCAATAAGTCCTCAAACCTTTGCGCCCCCATATAAATGCCCGGAGAATATTTCTTTTAGGAAAGGCAACGGCTAGGCTAGGCTAGGATTAGGGGGTGCGCACAAGGGCTTCGTAACAACCATACACCCGGGCGCTGCAATCCAGCACTTGTTTGGCCATACGGGCTGTGTCGGGCCCGATGACACGCATGATGGGTGATGGGTGATGGGCGATGCGCCAACGGAGTGGTGCGTCTCCGAGTCGGAGATGTTACCGTATCTGTAGTGGACGAGGATGCACTGCCTCAATCCATCCGAGTGTAAGTAATCTCTGGGGAACGAGGCTGATATGTATGGATATTGAACACAGGAGACATATCAACGAGTGTTGCGAGTGAGGAGCCCGGTAGTTCAAGCCAGTGTGCAACGCAAGGGGGGCTGCCAGATCTTGCGCTCCAGGGCTTTGTGGATGGGTGTTTAGTCATTTTGGGACGAATGTCATAAATCGATACTTCATGGTACCTAAAGAACTTAGCAGTGTATTAGCAGTGTTATCTCTACTCGTTTTCCTCCAGAGGATACTATCATCAGCTAGTCTTCCGCGCGACCAGAAATGGGTGTCGAAGTCGATCATCAGCCGAGGCTCTGGATTCGGAGAGCCGCATTTCCTAACTGCCTACGTCAAATACTCCAGGGCTACCAATAGAGCCAGATAATATGAGGCTGATGAACAGCAAACAACTTACCCCTCTTTTTAGTTAAATTCCTTCAGCTACAATGCCCTTCATGATCGGCGTACCCATCTTTGGATATTTGGATGCGATGCGGCGAGGGGCAGGGATACCGAGATAGCTTGGGATAGTACATGTATATATTTACTTTATGTCTTCTGCCCTAGTTTCTACCTATCTTGCCGCTGTTTGCCTGAACACCTAAATATTTAACAATTCAGAGAGCTGAGAGTGAAGATTTTGTCCACACGCTAAACACAGCCTTCGTGTCTAGGCACCCTGTAGCCTAATATCACCCTAAAGACGCAAGGCAGATAAATTCTTTATGAATTCTCATGGCCTCCTATCCCACTACTAGTCGGTCATGTAAAGATGTCAGCCTCACTTTCCAAATACCACTCCGCATTACTAGCCTCACTAGATCCGACTCGAGGCTTCTAACAAGGTAGACTCGAGATCGGCTATTCCATTTCCAAGACCACCGGGCTGTATTGCACAGTAGTATGTACAGCGTGGCTATTTAAAGGGCTTTGCATCCACATCACAAATGCACTGAACTCAGCTCAACTTAACCTACCATGATGGCTCTAAATGAATTCTTTCCGACTTTACCTGGATATACTCCAGCACCCGCGTCATCCCCGTTGGCAGTGATTGAACTGAACTCGCCTACAGCCCAGAGATATAGCATCGACCAGCTACAGCACTGCTGGGCGTTACTGGTGAAGCTGTACACCGGTAAAGACAACGTCTCTTTTGTATATGCTCGCACGGCTGTACACAGTGACGATGCATTGATCAATACTACACATGCAAGGATTATCTCTTATCAGTATCAGACTAGTGATAATAGGATGGGTATTGATATGGTGTATCGAGGATGGAAGACTGCAGATCTGTCGTCTTGTGAACAGAGCCGTGTGAATACGGCTGTGCTGCTGCACACTGGGATCGTTGGCAAGAGGAGTGGCGACGTTCTGTCGAGGGACTGGACGGGAGATATCAATACCAAGGAGATTGAACACGTATGAGGACCCGACACCTCCCATGCAGCTTATGGTGCAAATGCTAATCGCACAATAATAGACGAGTTTACGAATAGTTTCTTCCCTGGCCAGCGGCTCTTTGGTGATGCAGTACCGACCGAACTGTATTCCCCTCAGATATGCTGAGTCCATAGCACGCACATTTGAACGAATCCTGGATGACTACAACCAGCCCACATTCACATCCACTCATAAGCTGACCAGGTTGCAAAGTTTGGCACTTGATTCCACACGAGAGTATCTTCTTCACTGGGGTATCAAGGGCGGAAAGCGCACCGATAGCACCCACACCATCAACACCCTAGTCCGCGCCTCAGTCCAGGCGACCCCAGATGCCGAGGCCATCTGCGCATGGGACGGCCGCCTGTCGTACCGACAGCTAGATACGCTCTCAGACACCCTGGCCATGCGCCTGATAAGCGCCGGTGTGGTCAAGGGGACGCGTGTGGCATACGCCTTCACAAAATCCTCCTGGGCTGTTGTCGCCATTCTCGGGATATTGAAGGCTGGTGGCGTCTTTGCCGCGCTGGATCCGTTGCAGTCGAAGAAGAGATTAAGGAATATGCTTCGAATCCTAGGGTGCACTACCCTAGTTACCTCTGACCTGCATGCTTCTGAAGTTTCATGTCTTGTAGCCAACTCTCTTGTTCTTCCGCGCGACGCTTTATCTTCCGGTTCCACTTCCAGACCAAGGCAAGAGATTGCACTTGAATCCACCGATGCGGCCTTCGTCCTCTTCACCTCCGGCTCAACAGGTTATCCGAAAGCTATCCTCCACGAGCATGGCGCTGTATGCAGCCACGCACTTGCCCTAGGAGATGCAATGGGGTACAAAGGCGCGCGAGTCCTCCAATTCTCGGCATACATATGGGACGTGGCAGTGATAGACATCCTTATCACCCTTATATTCGGAGGGTCCGTGTGTATCCCCTCAGAAGAAGACCGACTCCATGACATTTCAGCCTTTATCCAATGGAGCAAGGCCAACCTTGCCCTCCTTACGCCCTCCTACGCCCGCTCCATTGACCCAGACAGCGTGTCAAGCCTCAAAACTCTCGCGTTGGGAGGCGAGTGCATGACGAAGGAGGATGTTAACAGATGGAATGGCCGTCTTACCCTGATGAATGTCTATGGGCCAGCGGAGGTTGGAGCCTGTTCGTTGAACACCTCGGTGACGGCCGTGGCTACAGGGGAAGGAGAAGGATACGTCGGAGTCAAAAACATCGGCCGCCCACTGCGAAATTCTCCCTGCTGGCTCATCGACCCCGACGACGTGAACGTTCTCGTCCCCGTTGGCTCCGTGGGCGAACTCGTCGTTAGTGGAATAAATCTCGCGCGGGAATACCTCGACCAGCGTGAGCTTACCGCTACGTCGTTTGTCAATGACCCGGCTTGGGCGGAAGCCCTTGAACTCAAAGGTCCAAGGCGGTTCTACAGAACAGGAGATCTGGCTAGCTACGACATCAGCGCATTCGACGGGTCTCTACTATTTATGGGCCGCAAAGACGACCAGATGAAAGTGCGCGGACAGCGTATTGAGCCAGGCGAGATAGAGTATCACCTTTCTCATGTTCCTGATGTTAAGGGTGGGATTGTGACGATTCCTGCCTGTGGGCCTTGGGAAGGCGAGCTGGTGGCCCTGGTCACGACTAACCAGCTGCAGAACCATGGTCATCTACATTCAGACCCATTGCAAGCCTTGCCAGCTGAGATTCTCCCGCTATCGCGCATCCAGGATTATCTCTCCGAGTTCCTGCCCGGTTATATGATCCCTACTGTCTGCGTGGCCCTTGCACATTTCCCGCTCACAGCTTCCATGAAGATCAATCGGAAGGAAGTGAAAGCATGGCTGGAGAAGATGGAGAATACACCAGTTAATGCTCTACAGAGCCAGAGAAGCTCTAATGCAGCGGCCCTAGCGAAGACCGAGCATACTGCAGTGATAATCAGTTCCCTTCTATCCGAATACCTCCGCTCCCTTCATCCAGACCGCCCAGTCTGGCTCGAAGCCCTGGACCACGACGTTTCACTTCATTCGGCCGGTCTGGACTCCATCCAGATGATCACGTTCTTCTCGACGCTGAGGAAGCGCTTCGGAAACGTGCTTTCTTTCCCGGCGGTCATGAAGACCAGACAGCTGACTGTTAGAAGTCTGGCGCGGATTATTGACGGTTCAGGGGGAGCGGCGCCCACTCGTTCACTTTTCTTTGTCAATGTAGAGGCTGAGATTGATGATATCTCCCAGCAGCTCCTCAGACGGCTTGATTCCTTGACTGTGGAGGTAAATGACAACAAGAAATCTAAAGCCGCAGCTCCAGCTATTCAAAACGTCTTCCTCACCGGTGCGTCCGGCTACCTTGGGAGACACATCTTCCGACAGCTACTTTGCCAACCAAGCGTACATATCTACATCCTCGCGCGCCAGCCTTCACCATCAGGAAATACGCGAGGCCAGAGATCACCCACACCAAGAGACCCCATTAGTAAGACCGCAATGCTGGAAGGTTGGTGGGACGAATCCTTCCGGCAACGCTACACCGTCTGGTCAGGAGATCTCGCTGAGAAGGATCTCGGCCTAAGCAAATACCACCTGGCATTACTTGCGGGACAAGGTCCAGCGGAGAAAGTAGTGCACGGGATCATCCACTGCGGTGCGGTTGTGCATTACACGCTCGACTACGAGAGCCTCCAGGCGGCAAATGTGCACTCGACAATGAACCTCCTGGAGATAATGGCGCGACCGAGGTCTCCCAGTAGCTTTGTGTTTATATCAGGAGGCAGAAACCCTACCCCTACCCCAACCACAGCCCTGACCGCTACTCAGAATCAGAAGGACCTAGTAAGAGACAAAGTCGAGGTCGATAGAGTCCTCTGGAATGGCTACAGCCAGTCCAAGTATATCTCAGAAAGACTCACTCTGGAAGCTCATACATTACCCGTACCATACTTCCAAGGCAAGCACCTCTGCACCGTCAACCCGGGGTACATCATCGGCTCGGCAACAAACAACTGGTGCGCCAACACGCGCGACTTCATCTGGAAACTCGTCGCTGGGTGTCTTGAGATCGGCCTCTATAACTGCGACGAGGCGGACGGGTGGCTATTTGTTTCGGATGTAGCCAGTGTATCCAGGGTTGCGGTTACGGCGCTTCTCAACCCGAACCAGGACAGTGGTGAGGATACTCACACCCATGCCATAACAGAAGGCCTCCCGTTCCAAACTCTCTGGGACATATTGCAGCATGAATACGGATACCGGCTTAGCGGGGTTTCGGGGGAACAGTGGCTTCAGACATTGAAATCCGCTGTTCTTGATGCGGGAGAGGCTCATCCGCTGTTTACGTTGTTACCTATGCTGGAGACGAATGGGCTGGGATTGGGGACTCGGCGTGACTTTTTATTGAGTGTATCGGATGGGGTGACTGAGTGTATAAGGAGAAATATTGCCTATCTTGTGCGGATTGGGTTTTTGCCTAGACAGCCGTCTTGAAGTGTTGGTTCTCTGCGGCCCTTTTTCTTTTTTTTTTTTTTTTATGGTGGCTTGACTAGAGACCTTCGGCTACCTATGGCATACAGTTCAAATCAACTACTTAGCTGTCCATGTTGTCATCCTAACCAACTCCCACGTCTCGTAGTGGTCTGTAGCTGGCAACCCGACCCGAAAATGGTGGTATGTAATCAGAGATGAGCTTAGGAAGGTCAGTACTAAGTATCATCTGTAATATAGAATAGTCGGCTGCATGAGCAGTCGGATACTGCCCTTAATATTATGTAGAACTCACGTACCTATATAACCACTGCGGGACTTATCTTGCCGAAGTCTAGACAAGTGAACATTCTATACTTATGCGGAGGATAACACGCGTTACACTGTACCATAAAATCTTAGAAGCAAAGTGTACAAGATCAAATTGATCTACAATGACACAGACAATGAATCGATCTACCGCCCTAGGAGCAATAACCAGAAGCAATGAATCGAGAGGGAACCGCCCGAGGATCTTAAGGGCAAAAGTTTATCACGTCTGTACCTGAATGCGGAGGCTCAGAGGTACTAGTAACATAGTAACAATAGGAAAGATAGAAAAGGACGTGACCAAGCAAACCAGAAACTCCCGGGCCCAAACCAGGCCCGTTATGCATTTGCAGCACGATCCCCTCGCCCAGGAAGTGGACGACAGGGCCAACCGACGCCGATGCAGAATTAAAAAAAAAAAGATATTAAACCCAAGAACCTATTCATCGTCCAGGTCTTGGTGCCGGGCGAGGACGTGGCGCTTGAATTCCGCCTGGTCCGAGTCCCAAAGCTCGGCTGCTTGGGCGTTCAAGGGGCTCGCACTTGTTCAATGTTAGAGATGATGGAAGTTATTGGAGATGCGAGGGGATGCGTACTTGTTAGGCTCACCCAGCAAGCTTTGCAAGCTGAGCAAAACACTCGATACGTTGTAAACGGCGCTCCACTTGTCCTTGAGGATGTCGAGGCAGATGCGGCCGGAGAAGTCGACGTTGGGGTGGTAGATTGGAGTCTTGAAGAGGACTGTTGGGGGAGAGTAGGGGTAGTTGTTGGGGAATGCGAAGGAAAGTTTGAGAGTGAGGCCCTCGTAGGGAGTCTCGGTCGGACCGGTGATGGTTGCCGTCCACGAGAGGAGGTTTCCGTCCGCGTCCGGGAAGGCGGAGATGCCAGGCGAGGGAGAGAGCATGAGTTGCATAAGCTCAGCTTGCAGGCTGTAGGGATAAAATAGATCGGGTTAGCTATATGTAATCGCAAACAGCAAACTGAATTGTCGAGCTGTTTGTAGGTGCTGAGGGGGACGAACCGTTTGGTCACGCTCTGGGTGTCGCTTTTTTGACCCGCGGAGTTCAGCTTGCTAGCTTGCTGCGCATCGGGCGCCGAGTTCTGCGTGTCTTCCATGCTGTAGTCCATTGTGGATCGGGAGGTGAGGCGATCGAGGTTCTTAAGAAATAGTAATGTGAAATTCTGTGGATCCCCGGTTGTGGAATGCTGGTAACAGTAGCACGAGGGTTTGGAATGACGCCGGATCCGTAATAATAACCCACAGGGGAACTTCCAAATATTTAGAAAGGAGGGATGAAAAGGGAAATTACTGTGTGAAGTGAACAAAGAGGAAAATAGAGGATTTGTTTACTCGGGCCCTTAGACGCCCCGGGCAACGCGAACCCCGCTTAGGTTAATTTACTTGGGTTACTTGGGTTATTCACCCATTCAGTGTCTTGAAAGAAAATGGATTCCTATTTATACTCGAATATATAATATTGAAGTCATGTAAAATTGAGTATAAGAACAAGTCCAATCGATTCAAAATGCAAGTGCGCATAATTAAATAACCGATCTGGCAATATTAGTGCGATCGAAATCAACTGCGGGTCTGCAGTTTCAAGGTATTAATAGCATATGTCGTATAATACTAAAGCGTAGTATAGTTGCGTATCTAGTATATAGTAGTAGTTATCTCTACGACATAGAGTGAAGCTATCTCCATCACTTTCTACTTCGTATTGTGCCTTTGTCAACAGACTACCCGATCAGGATAAAGTGGTCCGCGTCTTGTCCCGCGTTTCGCTACCCTTGCTTCGACGCGACATCTCAGCCTACCTTATTCCTCACTCGTTATACCTTTTTAATTTTAATTTACTGCTTGTCGCTTCGTGTATATTTCTATTACATCTACTCGCATTCACTAACTCCCTGTGAGTTTCCTCAAAATGCAGCATTCGCAGCTAGCCCCACTTCCGAACGATGTGCCGTTTCGCATCGTGTCCAAGACTATCGGCCAAGGTGCATATGCATGGTAAGAACAAGATTCATAGTATGGAACACCCAGATCTAACGCGCTTCGATCTATCTAGCATCAAAAAAGCCTGCCCGTTAGACTCAGACAACCCCGTCTTCGCCGTCAAGTACATTCACAAAGATTACGCCGCGCGGCATGGGAAGATCAGCGCAAGACAATTACAACTGGAAGTCACGGTACACAGGCATGTCTCCGGTCATGGGAATATTATCAGCTTCTATCAGACGGGTGAGGACGAGGTGTGGCGTTGGATCGCAATGGAGTTGGCCGAAGGCGGGGATCTTTTCGACAAGATCGAGGCTGACGAGGGCGTGGGCGAGGATATCGCCCATGTGTATTTCTCGCAGCTTGTCAGTGCCGTGAGCTTTATGCACTCAAAGGGCGTCGGTCATCGTGATATCAAACCTGAGAACATGCTTTTGACCGGCGACGGGATTCTCAAGATCGCCGACTTCGGGTTGGCGGCGCTGTTCGAGTACAAGGGAACGCGGAAGCTCTCGACCACATTCTGTGGCAGTCCACCATATATTGCACCCGAGGTAATTAGCAGCAGTAGCCGAGGTCAGAACAAAGGAGCTGGGTATCATCCGGACCTAGTTGACATTTGGTCTTGTGGTATTGTGCTTTTCGTCTTGTTGGCCGGAAACACGCCGTGGGATAGCCCGACAGACGATAGCTTCGAGTACCACGAATACGTTGCCACCAAGGCGCGGACTACAGATGAGCTCTGGCAGAAGTTGCCACCCGCTACATTATCACTATTGCGTGGCATGTTGACGGTGGACCCCCAAAAACGATTCTCGCTGGAGGATGTCCGAAGGCATCCCTGGTACACCCGTGCGAACAAATACCTCTCCACCGATGGCAAGTTGAGAGATCCAATTAATCTTGCCACCTCGATGTTTGAATCCCTTCATATCGACTTCAGTCAAGATCCTCTTTCCCAATCCGGGAAGGGGTCGAGTCGCAGTTTTGACCCCATGGATATGGATGGCGATGACGGCGGTGCAAATGCAGGGTTCTCTTCGACGCAGCCAGAGATGTTGGGCGGTGGCATGTTGATGGACTGGGACACTCCACAGAATGCAGATGTCTTTTCTTCAACCCAGCCCTTTGGGAAGAAGTTTGCCTCTCAGGATGCAGCGATAGCAGGCCATCTTGAGGATGAGCCTTCTATGTCACAGTTCTCACAGCAGCCTTCAGTGCCTGTGAGCCGAACCCAAAACGCGCAAAAGTTCCAGGATATTATCCCCTCACGTTCAATGACTCGTTTCTATTCTGCATGGGAACTCAAGCTTCTCGTGCCTCTCATATGTGAGGCCTTTCACCGACTCGGGGTTCCAGTTCCGAGTGTCCCTGCTGTTGGTGCTGGAGATACTTCTGCCATGATTCGGGTGATTGCCAAGGATGGCAGGATGTGTCCGCTCCAAGGTAAAGTTCTCATTGAATCTGTTTCAGAGGGGTTATTCGAAGTGGAATTCGTCAAAATCAAAGGTGATCCGCTTGAATGGCGACGCTTTTTTAAAAAGGTGGCCATCCTCTGCAAAGATGCCGTCTTCAGACCGGACGAGTAGGGTCTCTACCCTGCCTCTGTGGACTGCTATCTTCTTGTTTCTTTTACGCTTCTGCCTACATAATTTATTTTCAAAATGTACGAGTCATGACTGATTGATGGTGGGGAAATTGGGCCGGGCTGGAGTTTGGCTGTGGGAAAATAACACCTCATATCATTCAGATACTTTCTATTTCCAAGATGCATATAGCTTCAGCAATAGACGCTTGTATAGATGTCTGTCCCTATTTCTGTGTCAGTGTTGTAACCAATGTAAAAAGTTCACATAGTGGGAATATGCCAAGGTGTAGTACTACCACATGAAGTTCTAAATCCACGAGTTTTCAAATATGATATAAAATAGTGATGACACGGCGATGACTTTTTTCCCCTGCATCCATGGATGCAATTGCCTTCCTAGCTTATAGCACAACGACTGAGATAAAGATCAAGCCTTGTTCCATGCCGAGTGGTCCGAATGAGTTCACCAAGGATCTCAACCTGTATCTGGAATAACATGTCGTGCCCCAAATTCTACCCTCTGTTTGTTGTCACAACCTTGGAACAATCCTGCCCGGGTCGTTCTCCGCTAGATTCGTTGTAGGTCTGCTCTCATCTAAAAAGAGCGCGGAGTTATTTGACCTAAATCGCTCTCCAAAGGTACCACTACTAGGAAGCGCGATATAGTGTATCGGGTGACCCTCAGATTTCCTGCGGTCTATGCACCTATATAAGATGAGCTACGCACGGTTTGAATGTTGAAACCGCTGCTCTCGAATTTTCAGGAAACAAACCCTCCCTTTTCACCTCTCATTATGACGCTCAAGAGCCGGCATTATGATTTGTAACGTCCTTGGTTGCAGGGCACTTCGGAATCCAGAAGAGTGATTTCACAATCAAGGACCTCGAAAAGGCGAAAAACGATCATGCCTACCTGATTCACCTCCATCAGCCGTTTGCAGAGCTATCGCCAGCAAAGAGTGGGGGTTCCAAAGCCCTATCCATCGGCAATCCCTGCAGGAACTTCAAAATCGGTATCCTTATGCAGTGTCCACAGTACGTTATTCCTCGTGCAAAATTGTGGGAGCAACTGGATAGAATTAGGATCGGATTTATGGAACAAGTCTATGACAAGATCATGTCTAACCCGCAGGCCATCTGCTACGTGATCAACTTCATGCACCGAACAGGTCACCTCCAGCAGTTTCATGTGGGAATCGAGGAAAATGACGACGACGAACCGACAGGTCTCGCGGCAGTGGATCTAGGTATGGAAGACGATGGGTATTAGCCAATGACGACAAGCATTCCAGTTGGATGGCCAGAACAACGTCAGCATCAATTAAAATCGAGGCAGGGGAGGGTACAGAGGAGCGAGTGTGTGAAGTGGGGGCTAGAAGGTAGAGGGTGCACTCCACACCTATCATTATATGTTAATTTCTTATGTACAGGTCTGGACGGGTCTGGATTTATGGGTCTATGGGCTACAGGAATGGGCTGATTCCGGACTCTTTACGATCAGATCTCCATGGGGTGTACTGTATTACGCGGTCCGGGCTCGGCGTCGGGCTTCGAGTTCTTGCTCCAGTTGGATGATGCTTCAGTTAGATAAAGCGGCTGCATAACTAGTCATACGCAACTATTTAGACTGCAACAAAATCAGTTGAACTTGGATTGATTGATTGATTAACCTTGAAATTGGTACTGGCAATCTCCAAGAACAATGTGAATTTGGAAGATTCCGTGCGAACCCAGGATGAAGTTGCATTCCTAGCTTTAGCACGTAATTCATTATCTGCCATCGATGTCTCAGTGACCCCGGGAGTGTTCGGATAGGAAGATGGCCAATCCACTCAGCCCCTCGTCTCTTAGCTGGATCCTGGAAGAACTCATGGAAGGGGTCTCACTAAGTCTGGATGAGATCCTTACGCTAGATGATGACACTCGACAGTCACTGCTTTATCAGATAGCACGGGTTGTTAAAGCTTTTCAGGATTACCGACTGCCTGGGGCCGTTAATATGTATGGTAGCCTGAAGTTTGATCAAGGTGAAATCGTAAACATCATTTTAACGTTACCTTGTGGGGGACCGTTCCGACCTTATTCACAATTTGGGAGAGGAATGTGTACCTGGCAACTCAAAATGAGCGACCGAAGTGCTCACCTGAATGGTTGACGGGATATACCTGGTTTACGGGGGCGATTAGAAGACTTTACCGGAGAGCTCAACCAGCTTCTGGATAAAATTCACTAGCAACAGCCAACGCTGATACATGGAGACTTGCGTATGTCTAAACAAGGCGTCTTCTACATTCAACAAAGTATCTTTTCCAACCAGTCATCTTCGACTAGGCCTGCCGAGCCTACTCTTTGATCGCCCAAATACCCGCCTAAATGCGGTTAACTTCGACTTCGCTCACATTGGTACGCTTGTCTCCGAGTACTTATTTCCTTTCTGGGATCTAGACAGTCCACTATCTGGAAGCTCCGATCCTATTGGTCCCCTGCGCAACTATATCTTGGAAGGATTTCCATTTCTAGAGGAAGTCGAAGATAAGTGGAAACTTGCTCGAGCATAGGATAATGCTTTATCTGAGGTAGGAGCTAAAATGCCCTTGACGATCGACGAAGCGGGATATGTAGCAGATATATAGTAGTTCTCTCAGGATCTGTGCGTGGCCTATTGGTTTATACACACCTTGTTGGAGAAGTTGGAGAAGAGAACACCGGAGAAGCTGGAGGCGTTGACGGTTGGGAGTGCGAACAATCTAGAGAGAAGTTTGGAAGCAGTGGGGCTTCTAAAGATTTCGAGAGTAGAATAGGGCTCGCTTTTATCTTTAGTCTTTTTATGTTACTTATGAGAATATGGTTCCCATTGTAAGAAAGAGTATAACATGTGATATCGAATATGGAATATTCACGAGTCCATATAAGGCAATCCCATATATATTTTTAGTCTGCTTCCCGTGTTTCGGAGTGGCTGTGTCGTGGAAGATATCAGAATGTTCTCCCATTAATATATTATTATCTCCAGATTCTATAACGGTGGATCCTATATCGGAAAACCCCCCCGAGCCTGTTCTCTCTGAAATTGTCTCAGTTGTGCCCCTCCAAACGTCAGAAACCCATCACTCAAGGAATGAAACATCATTTTTATACTTATATGTACCCTCAATCGATTTGAAATCTAGACCCTTCATCCCATGCCAATTGAATCCACGTGACGGTCTGGAGTGCAGATCGCGGGGAACAGCCGCAAAAAAAAAGAGTCTAGAATTTGTTCAAGAGGCCGACATCCCCGTGGTTGACATCCCCTCCTTAGGCTGCCCTCGATGCGGTTGATCCCTCTCCATGGATACGCTGCCGGTAGAGATTCTGTCTAAAATCATCGACCGTAAGCCCCGGACCTTCCCCGCACCCGTTTCGACCGAGAACTGATAGTGCGATAAACAGACCTCGCTCCACGAGAAAAGGTCCAACTTCAATCCATATCAAAAAAGTTCTTTGATCTCGCCCGTGATAATAATCAGTGGAGATTACACTGCTATGAACAATCATGGGCTGCTCGGCAGGCTGCCCGCTCTGCGGCCAGACCCTCGGAGAGTGTGATTGCCGACGCGACTGTTTCGTTGACGGCCCTAGGGCAGGAGTCACTGCTCGATATCATTCAGCCTTCTGTCACATCGCTGAACGCAGACTCTGGTGATACCGGGGGACTGTCTCGGGGCGAGAGGGTGAGGGCTACAGCGGAATGGGACTCGTCAGCTGAGGGGGAGCATGTGGACTGGTATTCGGAATATATTGCTCGCAATGGGCCCATATCTTTATCATGGGTCGAGCAGCCATTGGTCCGCAAGGGTGAAGGGAAACGAGGGCAGTCCTACGAGGTCAAAGGAATGGGGCTGCTCAAAGACTGGAGTTCAGGCAGGCAGAACAAGATCGTTGCCCCGCTTGAAGATGGCAGCGTCTGTATCTGGGATCTGAATCATTCCCACTCAGCTGACTCTCAAGCAAGCAAAGGCAGGATCCTTGGAGTCAGCGAGCCTGGAATTCTCATGACCAACTTATCTGGTCGTCGGGATCATTCCCCCTCGAAGACGTCATTGGAGTTTATAAATCTAGGCGAGGGAGTGAGTGTGGATTCTCTGCGACAAAGAGCCTATTTGGCAGTTGGGAATGTCCTTAATGAAGTTGACCTGGAGACATTAAAAGTGATTTCGCAGCAGCGCTATCCTTGGTCGATTTTCGCCCTTTCCCAGGAGACAGATTACTCAGTGCCCTTGACACTAGCAACTACACTCAGTCTGCAGATCTATGACTCCAGACTGTCGGCCGTCGAGGAAGAAGAGGCAATCAGCTCGCGATGTGAGCAGGTAGCCAACCCAAACACCTCCAAACTGGGCATCTTTTCTCGCTCTGATTCACCTTTGTTCCAACTTCAATCCAATGGACAGCCACCTACTCGTATACGCAGCCCAGAACCCTCAGACAAAGGAGCCAATTATGCGCCGCTCTTCCAACCTGGCCCTCTTTCCATCCTGCACCCGCCAGCTCCTCATGTGAATACAATTCTCCTTGCAGGACGTTTCCCCAGCATCCTCTGCTACGACCGCCGCTACTTCCCTCGGCTACAGACCACAGTCCATTCCGGCGGTCGACTATGTGGTCTTGCCTCAGTACCAGCACCTCGATTCCCCATCTTCTCAGGTTCCGCCTACCCCGAGTCACATTCCGTCGTGGCATGCGGAGACTATAACGGACGAGGCTCGCTGGAACTCTATGACCTCAAACCAGCACCCGAAAAAGACCGCAGCCCTTCCAACATGACATCCATCCTGAACCCAGAATACAATAATCGTCAAAGCGCCGCCAGTTCCAAATTACTTTCGGTGGGATCGCACGGGAATCGCATCGTCTTTTCCGATGCCGAGGGAAACATCAAGTGGGTCGAGCGAAATGGTCGTTCAGAAGTCCGACGGTGGAATATCAATACCTCCCAGCCTCAGATCCCATTCGGTCGTCGCAGCCAACAGCCAACCCCGCAGACAGAAGACCAGCAGCCACGTGGGCTCTGGCCTTCTCAATCGCCGGGCAATAACGAGGTAGCCCGCAAGGTTCTCCCCACTGGTGGGAACCTTACTGGAGATGAGTTACTTATCTGGACTGGAGAGCGCATTGGCCGTGTCAAGTTTTCCATTCCTGCGGATGATGGGATGGAGCTTGATGAGAAAGAAGTTGCTGAAGATGATGATGTGTTTATGCATGCGGAGGTTGATGAAGCTACACGCGAAGAGATGCGGCATAGACGGCGTGACGATTGGGAGAGAGAGCAGAGATATGGGGATTATATGCGCCGTGCGCTTGAGAGACAGGCGGATGAGGTCCGCTGGATGGGGAATCGAGGGCTTGGCTGATATAGTTTTCATACATCAATTGCATATGGATACCCAGTTCTAGTGGGTCGGAGTGTCGGAAACATGAGTTTATATGTATATCCGAGCAGTAATCTATAGATCATGCTGTCTACTTGGAGAGTAATGCGGTATTAACGAAATCCCTAAACCTCGGAGACCTCGGAGGGGAAGAATTGTCTCTTACCAGTCCGAGGCTTAGCAATCGGCAGGTCCGCAATCCGGCTCCCCCGCGCCGAGATCACGGGCATTTCTAATGTTCTTGTCAGCCAGTGACTCAAATTGCTAATATTCTTCTGATTTGTTTGGTTCTAGGCCATTTCGAATATTCCTGCTCTTGATTAATTCTTCATCTTCTTATCACACCATATCTCCTACACCCCAACGCACTTTAAACCACTCATCCTCAAGTTCCTCAGTGAGGGGCAAAAAAGAAACCAAAATGCCTTCCCCCACCGAAATCGCACACCAATTCGACTCAATTGAGGATACAATTGCAGCATTTAGTAAGTGATACTCCTACACAGGGAACTGACTTCACCAAAACGAGCATCCTGCTACTCACGGCGCCATCCGAACCAACCAAACCGCTAACGAAGACCTACAGAGAATGGCGAATTCATCATTGTTCTGGATTCGCAAGACCGCGAAAACGAAGGCGACCTAATCATCGCCGCCGAGTCCATCACAGCCGCCCAGATGGCCTTCCTGGTGCGCTATACGAGGTAAGAGCACGACCAAACCAAGACAGCGGCGGGGGACCGACTACAAAGGCCCCTCCCCGCGATAGCACACGCATACCCACGAAAGCAATGCGCCCATCCAAATCCCATCTCAACAAAATTGGCTAACAATTCCAAAACACAGCGGTTTAATATGCGCCCCGATCACCCCGGATCTCGCCACCCGCCTCGCGCTCCCCCAAATGGTAGCCGAGAACGCCGACCCGAAGTGCACAGCCTACACAGTCACAATCGACTCGAGCGACGACTCCGTGACAACAGGAATATCCGCCGAGGACCGCGCACTGACATGCCGCACACTCGCCTCGCCCACAGCGCAGATCGATTCCTTCCGCCGGCCCGGCCATATTATCCCTCTGCAGGCGCGTCCTGGCGGCGTGCGCGAGCGAACGGGTCACACCGAGGCTGCGGTCGATTTCTGTAAGCTTGCTGGTAAGGCGCCGGCTGGTGTTATTGCCGAGCTTGTTGAGGATGGGGAGATTGTGGAGGGCATCGCAGAGATCGCGGGGAATAATGGTATGATGCGTCGGGATGGGTGTTTGCGATTTGGAAAGAAGTGGGGTATTAAGGTGTGCACTATTGAGGATTTGGTGCTTTATTTGGATCGTGTTGAGGGTACTGGTGCTGCGAATGGGAAGCATTGAGTGGTGGGCTTGTATTTGATCTACGGGTTGTTGTGTTCGGATCGCTTGTGTTGGGCCGTGTGCTTTGGGGTACTTTGTACATCACTACGCCTTCTCTTGGATACCTTTTTTTTAGATGAATTGATGCAAATATGGATAGAGTTGTGTATTCGGTGGGTGCGAGTATGAGTGTAGAGAGATCGTAGGTTCACTGGCCACATGAATACACGAGGGAACATTCGCTACATACATAACAAAAGGTGTATGGAATTGATTATTTGATTATTTGGGTATCTATCATTTTCTGCGTGTAGTGTATAAATGTCAATGCCGGCGAAGCAAATGTAAAAACAATGAACGAGTTTCCATGCCACGACAATGAAGCCGCATGCATCTTCCCCCAAACGCCAAAGCAATGCAAAACAATAATTGTATCAAAGAAAAGTCTGATGTGGCACCGAGGATAGTGAGACCGGTGCGACATCCTTGAACAACTCACTTACCGTTTGAGATGCGAGTAGTCCCTGAGAATGCTCGTCATATGAGTGTTGGTGGTCTTTCCACTTCGGCGTGGCTTCTTGGACTTCTTAGACGGCGCAATGACGCGCGGACCAAGAACCTTGTTCTTGTTGGTAGGTGTGATACCGAACTTGTCCAATTCTTCCTTCACCATATTCACATCGGGAACCTTGATCTTGTCCCAAATCTGTTTGAACTCATCGTCGAAGTGTTCGATCAGGGACGGGTCGTTAGGCCACACCATCTTGGGATGGTCATCCTTCTTGTTTCGAGTCACAAGCAGTTTCCCCTCCTTCTCCATCTGATTAATCTCTTCCTCGACGGTGGGCCAGCCCTCCCTGAGTTCGCGAACACTCATACCCGCCGCGGTGGTCTGGGCTTGGAGATATTTCAGGAGTTGCTCCGAGTTTCGAATGTTGTGAGGTGGGCGGAACCTGAATGTGCCCTCACCGTTCGCGCCGCTCGGATCAAACTCAACCTTCTCGTGCATCTGAAGAATGCTCCGAAGAGCCTGCACGTAGCCCTGGTCATGGGCACGGTGCTGCAGTGACAAGTATGAGATGATATCCGAGAACTTGAGTGGAATGTTCTTGTTCTTCATGTGCTCGATCGCAAACAGCACTTGCGTCATAATATCTTTGCCCGTGCCTGTGTTGGCCGGCTGAGAGTAGACTATATCCGGGTCATGGCGCTTCTTTTTGATCTCGGTGGACGATGACGGGGTCGGTGCGGACGACGGGACCTGGGAACTGCTGGCAGAGACCGGTTGGTTACTGACCACACGTCGCTGCGTGGGCATGCGGTTTGCCGACTCCACAACACTAGCGTTGAAGCTTTTGAGCTGATTTTGAAGGTACGACATGGTTGCGATGAAGGATCGGGGATCGTTGAGACTCAAGAGAAGAATGGAACAGAGCTGAGATGGCAACCACTTGATTTGATCTTGATCAGGCTGGGCGATTCAAACCAGGCTCGGCATATGTACCGTGAGTATTGCCTGAAAGAAAAGAAGACAACACCCCCGAAAAGAGTTGTTGTGTAGATAATGAGGAGAGCCTAGTCAAGCAGTTAAGCTTCGAGGAGAGTGGCTATTAAAAGATTGAAGGCCAGACAAAGAATGTCACGTGCCGAAGCTCAGCAACCCAAAGCGCGGAAATGGATCTCAGACGCCCTTGAAGTCACCTCACCACCATTTCTTTCAATTACCATTTCATTCAATTCTTCGTCTTCTCGCCTCAGAAGACACGCATTTTGTTTGTTCTCATCGTCATGACCTGAGGTCCCTCGGCCAGCGCTGTGTGTACTTGTCTGTGAACAGTACACGGCGCGCCTGTCCTCGAGGACCCAGCTCTAGCTTGCGCCGCTCATACTTGCTTTTCTTGATTTATCCGCCACGACAGCCCTGTGCTGTTGCTCGTTCGACAACATGGCAGAAACTGCCGTTCAACTACCCTACCTATCATCTCACTATGCGCTTCCCGAATCGACACTCACGACCTTAAGGCAGGCTCCAACTGTGGAGCTTGTCAATCAACTTTTAGAGTCAATCAGTAAAAAGGCACATGAATCCGATGAGCTCAAGTCCGACAAGCTTCGCTTGGAGGTAGAGCTTGAGAATTCCGTGCGCAGCAATGAATCAAAGGTCAAGGTTCTGAAAGCCAGCGTGGAGAAGGGACACGCGGAAGTCGCAGATTTGAGGAAAAAGTTGCACGAAGCTGGTATATATCTCTATCTTTTGTTACTACGGACGAGCTCCTCTCTAACATTGAATAGAAACTACCCGTTCCTCGCTCGAGACAGAGATCTCTACACTGAAATCCTCGTCCACGTCTAACGAATCCGAAACCACATCTTTGAAAACGCGGATTTCATCTCTGGAGGCATCCAACAGAGACACACTGGGCTTGCTCGAATCGAAATCTGCGGCCTATGACAAATTGGCCGAGGAGCTCTCGCTTCAACACAAGAAAACCATCGAATTACGACGTGAACTCTCCACCGCGGAGCAGAGTCTCCAAAGTGCCAATGCGGCATCTGCCAGTGCCCGCTTCCGCGAACAGAGCCTTCAACAAGAACTAGATCTCACCAAAAAGAACAACGAATGGTTCGAGACCGAACTCAAGACAAAATCTGCTGAATACATCAAGTTCCGCAAAGAGAAAGGTGCTCGGATCTCTGAGCTTCAGCGAGAGAACGAAGAGGCAAATTCGACAATTGACTCTCTCCGCCGGAGTGAGAACTCGCTCAAGAGTCGCCTGGATGAAACAGAACAGCGATACGAAACCTCTCTGGCTAGCATTCATCAGTTGAAAGAGGAAGCCATCCAGGCAACTGAATCCTTCCGCATCGAACTCGACAGCTCTAACCGATTGGCCGAGTTACAAGGATCTGCTGCCCAGACGGCCAAGCAACGGGTGCAAGAGTGCCAACTTGCTCTCGAAAAGACAAAGGATGACGCAGCACAGGAAATTTCGCGTCTCCGTGTGGAGCTTGAGACGGAGTCCAACGACAAAGCAGCTGCGGAGCGCCGAATTGGTGAGCTTGAGGCACTTGTTGCCCAGCTTGAGTCTGAACCTGCTAGAGGAAGATCAGCAAGCCCCGCTGTATCTCTCAATGGAGGCGCACCTAGTACACCTCTCCGATCAAGCATCATGCGCGCTGGCACTCCTACTGGCTCGTTCTCCCCCCGCGCGTCTCGTGGCAAGGGTGGCATGAATGTTACCCAGATGTACTCCGAGTACGATAGAATGCGCACCGCTCTTGCAGCTGAGCAGAGAACCTGCCAGGAACTCCGCAATACCGTTGATGAGATGGTTCTTGAGCTTGATTCAACCAGACCCGAAATTGAGGAGGGACGAGCAGAACAAACCCGTCTCGACCACGCTGTTGTGGAGATGTCTACTCTCCTCGAAACGGCCGGGAAGGAGCGGGATAACGCCCTCAAGGAAGCCAGGAAATGGCAAGGTCAAGTCGAGGGCTTGGCTCGTGAGGGCGACATCCTACGTCAGCAACTTCGCGATCTGAGCGCTGAAGTCAAAGTTCTCGTACTGGAGGTTGCTGTCGCAAAACATGGCGAAGAATACGACCGCGAGGAGCTCGAGAGAATCGCTCGGGGTGAAGTCGAAGAGTCGTCGAAGGATCTCAATGAAACTGGCCGCTTTATCAGCAAGCATCTCACAACTTTCAAGGATCTTCACGAACTCCAGGATCAGAACCACACTCTCCGACGTATGTTGAGAGAACTTGGTGACAAGCAGGAGGGTGAAGAGGCCCAAGCCAAAGAAGCTACGCGACGGGCAGAAATTGACGAGTTGAAGGAGTTGCGGATCCGCGCGCAAACAAACCGCGATGAGATTGCAAACCTTAGCGCACAGATGCAGAGCTACGTCAAGGAGCGTGACACATTCCGCAGTATGCTCATGCACCGAAAGCCAACCGTTGACGAACAGTCTGTCTTCTCACAGTCCATGCCTCTCGGGGCTGCTCCTCAGGGAGCTATGGAGGCCTCCGGACCTGACTACGCTGAGTTGCTCCGCAAGGTCCAAGCCCATTTCGATACTTTCCGTGAAGAAACGACGACAGACCACAAAGCACTCCGGCAACAGGTCAATGAGCTGTCGCGTAAGAACAGCGAGCTTATGTCCGATATCAGTCGGTCAAGCAGCCAGCTTGCTGCGGCTTCCCAACGCGCGGAGCTTTTGCAGAGTAACTTCAATATGCTCAAAACCGAGAACACCGAGATCCAAAAGCGTTATTCTGCTCTCTTCGAGAATGCTAACCGACAAGATCTCCGCACTCAGCAAGCTGCTGAAGACCTCGTAGAGGCTAAGGGTCTTGCTGAGAGCCTTCAGAGAGAAAATGCCAACCTGAAGGCTGAGAAGGATCTTTGGAAGAATATCGAGAAGAGGCTCATTGATGATACCGAGAATTTGCGGAACGAGCGCAGTCGTCTGGACTCATTGAACGCAAATCTTCAAACCATTCTCAACGAACGTGAACACACCGACTCCGAGAGCCGACGCCGACTCCAAGCCAGCGTCGAATCGCTCGAAACCGAACTGCAATCAACAAAGCGCAAGCTCAATGATGAAGTGGAGGAATCCAAGAAGGCTAGCATGCGCCGAGAGTATGAGCAGGAGACATCACAAAAGCGAATTGACGATTTGGTCACCAGCTTGAGCGCTGTCCGCGAAGAGCTAGTTGCCGCCAAGACCACCCGTGATCACCTACAGTCCCGTGTAGATGAGCTTGCGGTTGAGCTTAAGAGTGCCGAAGAGCGTTTGCAAGTCTTCAACTCGAGACCAAGCATATCTGCTGGTACCACCGAGGGGCTTACCGAGGGTCAGGAGTCTGGCGAAGGAAGCGGCCTTTCACGGGAGCAGGAACTTTCAATTGAAGTTTCTGAACTGAAACGCGACCTAGAGTTAGCCAAGGGTGAACTTGAACACGCCAAGCAATTGGCTGAGGATTACCAGGCCATCAGCCAAGCTAGTGAAGAACGTCTTGAGTCTGCCACGGAGACGCATGATCAATACCGCGAGGAGACCGATCGCCTTGTTGAGGAGAAGAACGCCAAGATTCATGACCTCGAAACTCGCATTGAAGAGATCTCAGCTGAACTGTCCGCCTCCAACACTGAAATGACCAAGCTCCGGGAAGAGCAAGCGGAGGCAACGCGCCGCCTGGAAGAGCAGAAGGCCAACTTCGAGTCGGAGATTACTCGCCTCAAGGCCGACAATGAACGACATGTCACGGCTGCACAGTACCATCAGGAGGACCTGAATGCGCAAGCCGAAATCGCCAAGCATGCCCAACAGAACTACGAAACTGAGCTTGTTAAGCACGCCGAGGCAGCGAAGAATCTACAGGTTGTTCGTGCAGAGAGTAACCAGCTCAGGCTCGACATTGCTGAGCTGCGAACCCAATCCGAAGGCTACAAAACGGATCTATCTCAGAAGGAGGAAAGCTGGGCGGAGCAACGAGCCACGTACGAGGGTGAGCTCTCTGAACTGCAGAAGCGTCGGGAGGAGGTTCTCCACCAGAATTCTGTACTTCACACCCAGCTGGAGAATATCACCAGCCAGATTTCATCCCTGCAGAAGGACCGAATGAATGTTTCGGATGATGAGCAGGAGGGCGACCAGGGGGCCCCCAATCTCGAGGGCCTCCAGGAGGTCATCAAGTTCCTGCGGCGTGAGAAAGAAATTGTGGAGGTTCAGTACCACCTTTCCACCCAGGAAAGCAAGCGACTAAACCAGCAACTCGACTACACGCAGTCGCAGCTTGATGAGACCCGCCTCAAGCTTGAGCAGCAGCGCCGTGCTGCGGCTGACAGCGATCACAACGCGTTGAACCACAACAAGCTGTTGGAGACTATCAACGAGCTCAACGTTTTCCGTGAAAGCAACGCCACTCTCAGAAACCAACTGAAACAAACCGAAGCCGTGCGTGATCAAAAGGTCGCCCGTGAGAATGAGCTGGTCCAGGAGATTGAACCCCTCAAGACCAGGATCCACGAGTTGGAGAGCCAAAGTGAAGCCAAGGATGGAGAAATGCAGCTTCTACAGGCCGATCGCGACCGATACCAACAGCGTATTCAGAACATCCTCCAAAAATACGACCGTGTCGATCCTACTGAAATGCAAGAGCTGAAGGAGAAGCTCACGGGCCTCGAGAACGAAAAGACCGAGGCTGTGTCCGCGCGGGAAGCTCTCCAAACCCAGATAGAGTCACTCCAGGCTCAAATTGCCGAATTCCCAGAGCAGCTCAAGCAGCATTCCGATGAACGCGCGCAAGATTTGCGATCCAAGCTCACAGAGCAATTCAAGGCACGCTCTAAGGACCTTAGCGCGCGTGTTAAGGCCAAGCAAGATGAGCTCAATGTGGCGTTGCAGGAGAAAGAGGTCATCCAAGCGGAACTTCAAACTACAAAGAACGAATTGGAGGCACTGAAGACCAAGGTGGCAGAGGCGCCAGCCAATGTGTCACCTACTCCTGCCCCTGCCCCTGCTCCTGCTACAGAAGAAGAAACCCCCGTTAACCCCACCCCGGCTTCACAATTCCCAACCGCAACCGTTGAAATCCCTGGTCCTGGTGACGCTCAGAGGATACAAGCCCTTGAACAGAAGATCCAGCGACTCGAGGCAGCTCTTGCCGAAAAGGATGGACTTCTGGCAACACAGACCAGCGAACAAGATGCGAAGATCAAGGAACGCGCAGATCGCCTCAAGGATATGTACAACTCTAAGCTGAACGAGGTCAAGGCTGCTCACCGTCAAGAAATTGAGAAACTGTCCGCCGGTGAACAATCCGCACCTGGAACACCAGGTGCGGGCCCTGATGCAACCCCTGCAACGCCGTCGAAGACGTTTGAGCTTGCCGGATTTACTATTCCCGAGTTGACAGACGCTCAAGCAAGAGAGCTGGTCGCGAAGCATGAGACTATTCGCACCATCGTCCGCAACAACATTCGTGGTGGAGTAGCGCGCGAGCAACAAAAGTTCCAACAAGAAACCCAAGCCTCCTCTAGTGCCAATGAAGCCGCGCTGGCTGGACTACAACAGAAGTCGACTGAAGAAAAGGAGGCCTTGATCAAGGCCCATGAGAATGAAATCAAGGAGAAGGTCAACTCAGCTGTCGAACTTGTCGAAAAGAAAACAGCTGCCCGTCTCAGCATGCTTGACACCAGATTCCGAACTGCGAATGCCAAGATTGATGTTGTATCAAAGGCTGCCACGGAAACTCCTCAAAAGCCCGTTGTGGAAGTATGGGAAATTGCAAAGACTGCTCGCCCTGCACCGGTCCCGGTTCCAGCTGCTAAGCCGCCCGTACCAGCAGCAACCCCAGTCCAACCTGTTGCTCCCACTCCAACTCTAGCTGCGCCGCAAGTCCCAGTTACAGCTCCCTCGGCCCCGGCTCCTGCTCCGGCCCCTGCGCCTACCTCTGCCCCTGTGGTAGCAGCCCCGAATGTTCCAACGGAGCAAGTCGCGCCTCCTGCTGCGCCTGCTGCTGGGCCTGTTGAACCTGCTGCCCCCCAGCAAGGTGAGACACAACCCACTGCACCAGCCAATCCGTTCGGCCAAACTCAGCAAACCGATCAAAACCAGCAGGCCTCTTCTCTCCCCAGCAAACCTCCCGCTGGAAACCCACCTGGCTTGATGCGAGCTCTTCAATCAGGACTTCCTATTGCACGAGGCGGACGTGGTGGACGTGGCGGTGGCCAACAATTCGGCCATCAGCAACATGACCAACAACAGCAGCAAGCTCACGGTCAGAGCCAAAACCAGCGCGGCCCAGGCCTTCAGCGAGGTCGCGGCGGTCGTGGTGGACAAGGTCGCGGTGGTAACCAAAATCAAAATAACGCTGCCCAGGCTCAGACCCCCACTGCAAACCGTGGGAACCTGAGTGCTTCGGCCCGTCAGTTCATTCCGGCCGGCAACAAGCGCTCTCGTGATGATGGCCCCGACACTACCGCCGAGGGTGGAAGTGGTGGAAAGAGACAGAGAGGCGGTGGTGGCCCACAGCCTCGTGGCGGAGGCTCTTCTTAAGCAGCCATCGCCGTTTCACGTTTTTCTGTTCCATTAATGTATTCTCGATCTCATTGACAAATGCGGCGTAGACCCGTTCATGAATGGGTTTCTACGCCTGCTTATGCCATATGGCGTATTGCTTTTCATGCTTTACCCTGCTACGCCGAAAGCAGTTTGATTTCTTTTGTTTTGTATGTATCTATTGAATGTGTGGCGTTCCTATGGGTTGCTAGTCCTTACTCTCAATTGATCAAGTTCAATTGAAAGTATCTCGTATACCACCATTATAACCATCGAAGATAGAGTAACTATTATAAACGAAAACTGGGGTATAAGCTGCTAGAAGACAAGGATGTATCCAAGAAATGGTCCGACAGAAGAACGCAAGTTCAAAATAAACAAGAACATCGACAAGAAAGCATATTGAAATCACTTCTTCCTCCCCCCAGCAGCGGGAACAAGCATTCTCCCAAGTACTTCCCTCTCCTTCTGCAAAACCATTAACCTCGCATCCTCAATAACCTCACCCGCTGGCGCAGGACTAGGAAGAGGCGTCTGCGCAACCTGCGCAGCACCCACAACAGCCGGACTCGTCCCCTTCACACCACGAGCTCTCTTCCTTCGCATACCCGGGCCCTGTCCATAGACAACAACCCACTCCGCGACAGATCCACCAGCAGCAATTTCACACCCGGAACACACTTTCGAGTGTGCACCGATATCCGCGCCCCGACGAATCGTCACCAGAGCCTCGATCGTAGCAGAAGAATGAATATGAGCACCGGGTTCAACCGTCGCCAACGGCCCAACAGTAACGAAGTATGAGATCCGCGTAGATGTCTCTTTCCTAGGCTCGGGTGTCGACGCCCCAGACTCCGTGGGTGATGTGCTTGCTGGTCTAGACGGTGACGGCGAGCGAGATGAAGTTGGCGGAGCGCCGATTACCGCTTTCTCGCTGATTATACAGCCATCGTCGACGACGATTGGGCCTTCGTATGCGTAGAATTTCGCGCGGGGGTGGATGACTGTTCCTGCGCCGATGGTGACGAGGTGTCGGCCTTGGAAGACGACGGTGTCTGCGATTGTGGCTGTTGGGTCGGCTTTTAGGGGGGCTTTGGGTGGGCCGGAGCTGTGGGAGGAGGAGGAGGAGGAGCGGTGGGTATTTGTTGGAGGTTTGAGGGTCGCCATTTTGGTGATTTGGGGTTAGAGGTGTGTTTCGGGGAGATCTATGATCATAGGGTGTTACTGTTACTGTTTTGGAGCTAGCTCGCGCCGCTTTTTGGGGTACGTCTCTTAGTCAGCTCGATGAAATGCTTGGGCAGCCATGGATCCATGTATGGATAAATAGATGCAGTCTCAAATGTTGATATATTTTATCGGTATAGAACGGTACAACATAGGAAAATGCATTCGTGATATATTCGGAGCCGGGTATCTAAAATTTAAAAGCCAAGTCTAAAGCGCCCCATCCCCCAACGTAGGAACTACCGGATAAGACAGCCAATGACCCTCATGGTTCCTCCGCAGTCTCTGGCTTGATACCGTTACGCTTCCTCCAAGCTCGAACGCCCCGGTCGACCTCATCTCTGGTCATCCCATCGCGCACCAAGCAAAATGTGACACCCAACTCTGTCTCCACGTTCCGGTTCCGCGCCTCATCATCGAAGAACAGCATATCCTCATAGGCAACAGTACTTGTCTGCTGAATCTTCGAGAAATGCGATGTCTTATTTCCCGGGTAGATCTGGATAAAATCAAAGTAATCGAGGGCGCGGATGGTCTTAGCGTTCGCGGCGGGGTTATCTGAGAAGGTGGGGATGATATGTAGGGATTTGAGCATGTCGCGCGCTAGATCAGGGGCGTGGGTTCGAGATGCAAGGGCCAGTGGAATCAAGCGATGTTTGCAGGCGTAGACTATCGACGAAACTGCCGGGTAGAAGGCGAAGGACTCTCCCCATCTATTTGAGATAAGGAATGTGGGGTTAGAAATCGGACTGGCTTCGAAATGATCAGATGTCAATCGGGGGATTCGTACCTGTCAACGGCACGGGAGTTGTTGTCCCGTGGCTTGATAGGGGCGCTGACATGTGTGTCAACCCAGAACGGCCACAAGGTGTAGTCCAGGTCGAAAGCGATCAATTTTGGTAGAGGGAGGCCGTCGGTGAAGGTTTCGGGGGCCACAGAGGAATCCTCCAAAGGCTGAGTGTTTTGGCGCTTGGCTCGGACCATGTTTGGTACAAAGAACGCACGAAGAATGAAAGGAAGTTCGGAGGAATTCGAGAAGGAAATGAACCATGGAAGAGGTGCCCGAGGATGAGCCAGGGCTGGACTGGCACGTGAAATCTGATACGGATGACGATTGCGACCAGTGAGGGAATATCCCTATCGATAAAGTGGGTCCGGGCGAAGTATACAACCAGGATGCGGACCTACTGACGAGTTAGCAGACAATATTGTTTCGAACAACTAGGCAATCTAGACAATCGATGAAAGCTCACGGTGATTATGGGTAGCACACGCTCATGCGCATAAACCGGGAGTCTCACACCAGGCGACGGATAGGTCCTAGAAGATCAGACCAAACAATGGGACGTGGAGATTGAAATCAGGTCTAGAGAATCAGTAGTACATAGACCATCACGGGGATTGTATCCTCCAGTAGCAAACCTGGTGAACACAAGCTATGGTTAGAGCGATGTGACAGCACAATATTTATATTGACTTAGCAGAACTCCATGACAACAATGTGACCAAAGGGGTGTTGGAAGATAGCTTTCTTCTCCAAACACCCGGGCCAGCCGAATGTTTAATGAAAAAAGAAGTCTTGTTGACCGGGAGTAGTGTAAGTGCAACAAGGCGTGTGCAAGTACAGAGGTCAAGTCACGAACTCAAAACGTTAGAATAATTGGGATGGGGGGGGGGGGGGGGGGGGGGGCGCAACGCAGAATACGAAGCGCTCAAGACAGTGCGGAGGTGGGAGTGGATGTGGATGCAGAAGAGGCGGAATACAGAGCGGAGATAGCCGGAACGTGTTTTCCGCTACGCTCGTATTCGTATTCGCTTAGAGTATATAAAATCTCGAACTACATAGTATGGGACCCAAGAAGCTTTCTTCTCCAAGCACCCGGACAAGCCGAATAATTGATGAAAAGAGGAGTTGCATCAACTGGGGGCAGTGTAAGCCCAGTGACACAGTGCAACGAGGCGTGCGCAAGCACAGAGGCCAAGTCGCGAGGTCCAAAGATTGTGAGGAGAAGCAGGAAGTTCTGTAGACGGACCAGGGGAGAAGCAACCCTTGAAAGTCGATCAGAGCTACCTGTTGGGCCGGGGGACCCGGGACACCTCACTGCTATGGGAAGAAGAAGAAAAGAAAAGAAGAAGAGCTTCTGGGGGGAGGCCACCTTTTATACCCCCGAGGCGGCAGGTTGAGCGGAGCGGAATGTCGGATTCTGCGGGGTAATACTGCCGGTAACGAGCACGTGCCCCGGCCACGTGTGCGAAGTCTCAACGGTCAGGTGGTGGGTTATTATTAGACGATGTTTTCCAAGGTTGAGACTACAAGTCAATTCGCAATGCCAATCGACCGACGTTCAATCGGGATTTTTCGGCCAGCCTTGGTAACCCGGCATTTGGACTTGACGAAAACCTGGATCATCCATGGCAGCAAGATAATACACCACCGACGCAGTTGGCTTACGGCGTTGTCTCTACTTATATGTTGTATCGCGCTTCATTGTAGGAAAACATTTCAATTCGGGCTGCTTTCAGTCAATGGAATCTGGCAGTGGTGTACTTCTTTTTGTTCTTTTACAACTCAAAAAGGAAGGATTTTATCTACAGGCGTGGAAAAGAAGCTCATAGATAACCGTAGGGTTTATTCCTAATACCTCGCAGTATTGTCTTTGCGTAAATTTAATTCATTCCGAACTTATAGACATACTTCGATCTTATTTCTTTACAACAGCAACCAAAATATTTACTAGGGTGCACCAACAATAAGTACTGTGGTATTATTAGGCTTCGCAAGGTTGTGTAGAGAGTTGCTATTTGTATACGCTGCTTAAAGGGTACCTGAGCAGCTTTTTTTCGTTGTCTGTTTAAATTAATACGGTATCCCCTTAATAGCCTACGTAAACCTCACATGCCTTTGTCTAGGCTCAGCTATAGGCTAAAGAATAATGGTCTTCCTAGTAGTGCCAGCATTCATAGGATCAATTTGTTCTACAATACACAAATACTTGGTTATATGTATATAAAAAAGTCCTCTGCACATGTTTTGATTTTGACCGCCTTTCTCTCTTTCTGACTATAAAACTGAGAATAGGAGGAGACATTCAAAAAGATACCCAAAGTACATCGTAGTGTTATCTCAACTATAACATTAAGGATAGAGACCGAGTAACAAAGTATCTTAAAAGACATCTTATTATAAGATATCTACTATAAATATGAATTGGTTGAAGGGTTGAGAAATCAGGTTCTAGACTATGGAATTAGATACCCTACGAACATGCACCCATCGTGGTCTACGCTGCTCGTCTACAAATCGTAAACCATTGTTGTTGCTGAACCTTGAACCTTGGGTGTCAAACAAGGTATTGTATCTGAGAACAGGGCCCCCAGTAAATACGGTTACGTATTTACTTGATAACCGGAGGCTAGGGGAAGAGTGAACGAACTGTCTCGTAATAATGATCCAACTACTGCCATGAATCCTCTAAATGTCTTCATGGGGATAATGGGACAAAGATTTGAAAGACACAAAGGTCCTCAACGGGGAAAAGGAGAGGTCTGTCAAACTGCATACTATCAATGCATCGATTGACAGGTGTAAGGTAATGGGACGAATGTCTACCAAAAGGACGTAGTGCAAGTTCTCTGATATCATAACTATTAAATCAAAGGGAATAACATATGACAAGTTGGGTATGAGACACAGGTAAATCAGTTGATCTAAATCATCGCTATCAACAGAGGTTGCCTCTGGTATTCCATGGTGACCTGCATATCTAGGCCAGTATGCTGTGAGTACTCCTGATGGAATATTGCCACGATATAATAGAAAATGGAAGCCTCCCCGCCTTGTCTCAGTATTGGTATTTGGGGAGGGCGCGTAGGGTGGAGTTATGGAACTTCTCCAAGACAGTGTTATAGGTGTGAACAGCGAAGGTCTGATGAAGACATTGGTAAGCATTTGAACTGTAGCGTGAGAACACGAAAGGAGGGGACAAGACTGACTAGTCCACTCGGAGCCATTGCGGTTTCACAAGCTCGTTGGAATATCGATAACCGCTCAAGGCAAGGGTTGCATGTCCTGAGAGTGCACCTGGGTGCGGTGGGCCATGTCAAGAAGCGAATTGTTGATTATTTGGTGTGTATCGGGAGAGGGACGCGTATGTGAGACTGATTGCAAGTGTGAAAGCTGGGCAGGTGGGTGGTATAGCTGGATAGCACATCGACAAGAGAGGTAGATCGGTTTCATACAGTTCTAAGGTAAACTTTCTTCTCCAAACACCCGGACAAGCCGAATAATTGATGAAAAAAGGGAGGTTTCGCATCGACTGGGGGTAGTGTAAGCCCAGTGACACAGTGTAACGAGGCATGCGCAAGCACAGAGGCCAAAGTCACGAGTGCTAAAAATTGGATTAATTGGGGGTCCTGCTATGCAGGACTATCAGCGATTAAACTGATAAGAACAGTACTACACTTGATCTAAGCCAGGAGGCAAAGAAAAGCTGGGGAAAGAAGAAGAGGAAGAGGATTCCCCCGGGGGGGGAGGATCGTTTTATACCCCAAAGGCGGTACACCCCTTACCCGCAGCGGTACGGCCCGTCCCGGGGCGATTACCGGCAGAGCAATTAGCCGGTAATGGTATCGGGCACGTGCACATTTCCCTGGGTGTGCTCAAGGTAGATGGCGAGTATTGACAATGAGCAGAACACCCACGGATGGGCTATTGGAGCCCGGGAGATAACGAACGGTGTCTGAATAACAGGGTAATACAGCATAGACTTGGTCAGCAATATAAACGAGCACAACCATTCCCATGCCCAGAAGAAGCAAAGTGAATCAACTTACTAGTTGATCCACGTAGATCTCCACTGCCAGATATCAAGAATAGCGAATGCCCATGCCAGCAGAAATAGCTAACGGGAAAACCACTATAGACCATCATGTATCTTGTAATTCCCAGAAGAGAGACTTAATTTCCTTCTGATGTCTACAGAAGAGATCACCACGGGCTATCATGAGCGTGTTTTGGGCGGGGTGAGGAGGGGGCGCTGACCCTGTCGAGAAGCGGATTGCTATTGGCTTGTAGCGTATCGGGAGAGGGGTATGTAGGCGTAGGCGAGACTGGTTGTAAGTGTGAGAGCTGCGTATATGGATGGTAGATCTAGCCGGTGTGTACGAGACAGACTGCGTACCTGTAGGTTAATGACGGTATGTTAACGAGAGACAAAAGGCACTTACAGGTTGTGATCATACGGTCGACAAGAGGAACCCTGTCTGTCAGAAGGGACTACGTCGAAGTGCATGGTGCAATTTGAGAATGTATTGAGTAGAGAGGTGTGGAAGCTAATTTACGAGCTATGAAATCTGACACCCCATGAAACCATGCCATGAACTCTGTCCCCCTACGAAAAAAAAGCAACCCTAGTTGTTGAATATGTTGTTTTAGCGTACCATGGGGTTGCAGATAAGAGTATTGGCTGAAGTAGGGGCGGTAGTGGTGGTAGTAGCCGGAGTGTTAACTGCGTTAGCTGACTTAGTATTAGCGAGGTTCTGGAAGCAATCTTTGGAAGTGTGAGCAGCCATTCGCTGGTGCAGAGTGTCTAAATGCTTGGGATTGTTAGACCAAGCGTTTTTGGAAGCGTTGATGTTCCAAGAGACCGGATCGGAAATGGAGTTGGGGTGACTGGCGAGGCCTTTATTCTCGGAGATGACGAATTCGGAGAATGTGCTGGTAAGAATATGCTCGGAAGAGTCGTTGGTTGAAGGACGAAGGCTGTCCAGCCACTGATGAGTAACGGCCTTCATGCTGACGGCGGACGGCGAAGGTCTTGTGGAGACTCTGGTCGGCGGCGGGGGCGTTAGGAACAGTGTTAATATAAGGCTTAAGAAAAGTGTGAGCTGCGGTGTGAAGGTACGAAAGAAGGCGGCAGGTCTTGCGAGTCTACCCTGGAAGAGAGGGATCCTTAGGAGCGGACTAGGCCGCGTGGCCGGTGAGGATCTCGAAGAGATGTGGGTCTCGAGTGTCGAGAACGCACTTGAGTGCGGTGGACCGAGGCGAAGTTGGATTCGCTGACGAGGGTGAGTACGAGCTCTAAGAGCTTTAACTCCGTGAAGCTGGTCGAAGAAAACATTTTGAAGGTGTGTCAAATAGAGAGGCACTCATGGTGTACGTCGTAGGAGAGGTACTTGGTCGCGTGGGTAGCGGGTTGTTGTGGGAAGAAACGGTCTGCGCAAGAAGCCCTCGATCAGTGTGTATTGAGACCATTGGTAGACCATTGGTACAAAGGTAGGTGACACCGTTTGTAGGTCCTCGTGGGTGGGGTGGCCTGGCCGGTTGATATCGATGGTGACGATGGTGACGGCTTCGAAGAGAGAGGCAGTTGAAGGATGAAAGTTCGGTTGCATAGTGCTTCCAGGAGCTCATAACCTGTCAGAAGGGACTCGGTCGAAATTCATGGTGCAATGTGAGAATGTATTGAGTAGAGAGTTGCAGAAGCTGAGTTACGAGCTATGAAATCTGACAGATCCCCATGAGGCTTCATGGTACTTCCACGATTTCTTCTCCAAAGACCCGGGCAAGCCGAATAATTGATGAGAAATGAGTCGCGTCAACCGGGGGTAGTGCAAGCCTAGTGACAACAGTGCAACAAGGCGTGTGCAAGCACAGAGGCCAAGTCGCGAGTGCTAAAAATTAGATTAATCGGGTGTCCTACATCGTAGGGCTATCAGCGATTAAACTGATAAGAACATGTACTACACTTGATCTAAGCCAGGAGGCAAAGAGAGCTGGGGGAAAAGAAGAAGAGGTTTGTCGAGGGGGCCGATGCCTCGTTATATACCTTAGAGGCGGTGGGTCCCCGTGGGCAGTATAAGGCGGTACATCACCCCTCCCCATGCCCCACCAACGGTGCGGCCCGTCCCGGTATCGGGTGATCTCAATACCAACGCCAATACCAGCCGTATGTGTTACCGGTGTACAGATTTCTCCGACATGATACAATTACTGTACTACATGGCATCAACACCTACCGTACATATGTAGTACATAGTGTCAGACTGGGATATGGCCCCCACTAGGCCCTAAACAGGAACCGAGGTTTTTGTTATGGTCTAGTGGTAAAATAGGCTGTATTTTTCCCACACATAGCATAGTACATAGTGGGAAGACTGTACGTTTCACCCGTGGAATATATACTAAGATAAGACACAAACAATTAATTAACCGCGGTATCTCACTTTTTGCGTTTGATGCAGTATGTATGGAGTACAGCGGCAGAATTACAAACTGATATGGAATAGTAGTATGAGACTGGGAGACAAAAGATCTTATTCAATAACCATATGATACCTTGTCTAATTCTAAAACAGTCATTCCAGAAGACAAAGAGTAAAATCAGTCAAATTCTCTAGTGAATTCTCAAGTGGATATGTCTCCAATGTTGATTGGTATAAGTAGAAGGTGAGTTTTCAGTATAAGTCAGCTGTTGACATCCACGTTCCAAATTCCAAACAGGAAATCACTAATGCACAAACCTAACTTTGGAGGGATATGTATTTATGACATAATCCATTGGCTCTCAGTCTATTGACTACATAGGTAACCATTTAGACTACTAGATACTAAATATCATTCGATACTATCAGAAACCCTTGGGGTCCCAAAAATAAATCGATTGCTTTTGGAAGTAGGGCCATCATGGTAGGTACATCGTACATGTAGTCAGATGTCAGTCAAAAGGTGAGTTGAAAGATACAACGATGAGCTGGCGTCTTGAAGCTGAAGTAGAATCTAGTTGTGGGGCTAGGCAAACAGGCATTTACACCAAGGAAGCCGACTTTCGGGTCACTCAACGTGCTACAACTGGTGCAGCATGCAGAGGTAAACACTTCTTCCATTTTTACATTTCCTTGTCCTAGTCTTCTTTTTCTTCATTGGCAATGCACACGGAGTATAGTATCAAGGTGAAACAAGACGAAATCAGAAGTTGAAAAGCAAAACAATGCTCATCATTTTGGACGGGAATAATAACCAAGGACCTAAAAGGAATAAAAGGTTAAGGATAAAAAGAACTTGAGATACTTGGGTCGGATGTCTGAAGTCAACAGTGGTCTGGTGTGCCTAGTGTTTGGAGTGATACTTGGAGTGAGACATGGGAGAATATCAAAGCAACGGAATTCTTTCAGGATATTTCATGCTGAGAATTTCAAATGTCAATACAGCATTGCCCTCAGTATGCTATATAGAAGTAAGACAAGTCGCAACTTGCACCAGTTCGCAGTAATCCAGCATATACATCATCACGTAAAAATAAACCGTAGAGATACATGAGAAAATAAAGGGTCCCACCACTCGGTCAGCAATTCCCAGGCGATTAAATAAACTTAATAATATCCTTAAACTCATCAAGCATATCAATTCCATCGTTGTCCCATGTTGCGTTCAAGTCCATCCGACCGCCGATCACAGTAATGGGAGAAACGGGAGACGCGGGAGAAATAGGAGGCTCACGCTGCTTAAGGCTCAGTGGAGGTTCATCATTCAAAGAGTTTGAAGCGTGACGTTTCTTGTGTTCCGTCCGGGTTTCGTCTTGACTCGCCTTCCGTTTCAGGGTGGGTTGGTCTGCTTTTGTGGAGAGCTGCAGTGTGCTCTGCTTGACAGAAGAATATTTGTTTATTGAGCCTGGTGGTGTGTCATCCGGGATCTCAATTATTTCAGGTTGGTATTTAGGAGTTATTAGCTTGGTTTGGTTTTTTTGAAGGGTAGCGGATAGTAAAGCAGAAGGCTGGGTCTCGGGGTCTGTATGCTTCGTTTCAATGACCGGAACATCTGTAATGTTGTTCTTCGTCTGCCCATCCACCACTGGAGAAACTGATGTTGCAAACCCTGACCTTCTGCTCCTGAGAAGACGTGATGGCGATGGCAAATCATCGAAGTTTTCATCGCCATAATCACTGGAGAGGGGTTTTGCTAGACTCTTTTCCAACTTTCCCTTGTATGAAGGAACGTTCTTGTCCCTCTCAGAGAGGACAGACCTCTCTCGATTTGGGTTCTTCTTTCCACCCTGCCACGTCGACATCTTCTTCACCTTTGAGATATAGGTGTCATTCTTGGGCGCCGTGACACGTTGTTTGGCAACTTGATTTCTCGGATTCGACTTGCTGGTTGGAGTTGCTTTTTTGATACTGGCGGAGATAGTCAGTTGGTTAAGACCGCTTTCCTTTTGGGTTGTGGGAATTGTCCGCTTCGGCGGCTTCGGTGGCTTCTCAAGCCCCTCGCGACAGCAGAAATGCTTGCAGCTGGAATTATTAGCTCAAGGATAAAGAAACTATTGGTTTTCTCAAACCTCGTTTTATCTTTGCATTTGTGGTTGCAAGCCCATTTGCCATTCGCAAGTCTGACTGGTTCGTACTCATCATCCGGCTCATCCAAATCCACCGCCCAGTCGTCTTCTCGGAGATTTGAGACCTTCGGTGCTCCCTTGGCTGGGCTCGGTGGAGTCGCATCAATGGAAAACCAATCTATATCATCAAAATCATTAACCTGTCGAGGTTGTAGCTTTGTAGCTTCCTTTGCTTTGCCGCAGGGTTTATTCGCAACGAGGAAATCATCGAGCTGCAAGTCATCGCCCTCAAAATCGTCCACAATCTGCCAAGAATTGGTCTTGATGCTGGTCATATCTCGTCCGTGGGGACGAGACGTGTTGGCCTTCGGTTTCTCTGCGTCTTTAGGATTCAAATTCCCCTTGGGGTGACGAGAAGGTAGGTTCGAGGTTTCAAGTTTTTGGGCATTAGTATTCTTATCTCGCACAGCAGCAAAGAGGTGAGATGGCAGATTAGGTCTGAGCTCAGCTTGTCTTGATGTCCCCGCTGGGAAATTATTAGCATATATATAAATGCTGCATAAAGGCAAAAGCAGAATCAAGCATGGGAGACTTACCGATTTCATCGCACATAACATGACACACAATGACATGCTGCGGACTCGTCAATTCCGCGATGAGTTCAATTTCTAGTTTCTCTTGGAGCTTGGCCGCACTTGAAGGGCATCAGCATTTGCCTACAACAAAATAGCTAGATGAGCATCTCACCTTGTGCGTCTGAAATCGATCATATGACCATCAGACCTCTCTATCAAGCAACAGACATAAACTGGATGACGTTGGAAGAACGTCGGGATCTTGTCATTCATGAACGCGACTTCAGCCTTGAATCGGACATTGACACAGTCAACTTTCACTTCCTGTATCCCACGTTAGAAAAATCGCATTTACCATCCTAGCAAAATGCAAACCTTTCCAAGCATCTTTACAGAGACCCTCAATTTCGGGAACTCCTTCAATCTTGAGAGTAACTTTGACCCGAAAGGTGGATTCTTGCTAAGAACCATCTCAATCTGATGAGCTTCGACACATTCCAATCCTTCAATACTGGTGATCCCAGCGGCAGCCAACTTCCGAACTGTGACAACACCCACTTGCTCGATCTGCTTCATTTGGAGAGGCGAGTGGTCCCAGACCTTCGCTCCAAAACTTCGGGCGAGTTCAAGGGCATTACGGATCGTAATTGAGTCACCGCGGGAGATTTGACAGTCGAGTAAGCAGCGGATTAGTCGGTTGACATGTGCAAAGACTAGACTTTTGTCTTGCTGGAAGCTGAATTTGTGTTTTTGAAGTTGGTCGTTATCGGGATACTCAATTGCTCCTAGCTCGGATTGAAGAAGTAGTGAGATCTTGTGAGCCGGGAGGGCTAGATCAACCTTAATAGGGAAACGAATCCCTGGGTCACGGTTGATCTCTCGGTACAGTGATTTCTCGCCGGCTTTGAGGCGGATCTCGCGGAATTCATCACCTTGTGCGATCACATTTAGCTGGAACATTAATATTAGTTGTGATTCTTTATTTCAGCAACCTAGGAATAATACTCACAATTTCGGACAATGTTGCCTTTGGCTTCAGCGACAATAGAACTTTCATTGTCTCAAACTGGATGTAGTACCGAGCCATAGCTTCGCCAAACTGGGTCGAACAAAGGCTCTCGCCTTCGACCAAACCGCAATTTCGAAGAAGACTGATATCCTTCTCACAGATACTGCGAAGCAGCTGATCCTCATCTTCTTGGTTCGCCCCTTCCTTCAGCTTGTAATGCGTCGGGTTACGACGAAGCCTTACAAACAAGAACGTGCCACCAAGCCATTTCACGGCCGATTCGACGTCCGTGATGTTTCCCAAGCCAACCTCAGCGTTGAGGTGATCAATGAGGTTTAAATGTAAGCAGCTCTCCAGACTCTCGGATCCCTGAACCAGTCTCTCGTAGTGGGCCACACGCTCCTTCCTGGTGAGGATGACTGCTGTGGCACTGTCGTCGAATTGGGGTCGGCCCGCGCGACCAAGCATCTGCATCATCTCCAAATCTGAATACTCCTTGCACCCTCCATCCTGCCAACTGACAGTGTTTTTGATTATGACAAGGTGGCAAGGCAGGTTGATTCCAACTGCAAGTGTAGACGTGCAACATATGACGTTGATATTCCCTTCTCTGAACCCTGTCTCAACAGTGTGGCGGTCAGCGGGACCCAAACCAGCGTGGTGAAATGCTACACCAGCAGGAAGTGTCCCTGTCTCTAATTAGTAGTGTGCGTCTAGAAAATATCTCAGATACATACCGTTAAGGTCGTCATTATGAGCTTCGAGGCGCTTCTTGGGTTCCTTCCAAAGCCTGGCGGGTGGATTTGTCAATGTGAAAAGACGAGCCAATTCTTTCGCCGTCGCGAGCGATGAATTCCGTGTGCAACAGAATATCAGGATGGGTTTCTTGCATGAATGCATTCCGATCACTTCAGGCAACCTTTTCAAGCACCAATCAGGACATCAGTATACCCACCAATCAGTATACCAAACGAGTAACTCAAAAAGAAAGAAGGGAGAAAAACAAAAAGGCCACATACTTTGAACCGCAGACTTTATCAAATGCAAAGTCATTCAACTTAGACGCATACCCATAGACAACCTTCTTCAGCGTGACGGGACGAAACTCCTCGCCGAAATTTTCCCGGTGCGCAGGAACATGCTGATTTGTCGCATCCTTCCCAAGCCAGGTAGCAATATCCTCGGAGTTAGGAACAGTAGCACTCAGCGCCACAAATCGCACATTCGATCCGATGTTTTTCATTCGAGAAACTACAGCCTCAAGCGTAGCTCCTCGCGTTTCCTTCAGAATATGCACCTCGTCAATAAGAAAGAGTTTCACGAGCTGCATCAACTTCATATGATCTTTCCACTTCCGAGTCATGCTATCCCACTTCTCGGGCGTCGTGATGATAATCTGGCTACTCTGGGCGTTACGCAGTTGCATGTGGTCTGTGTCTCCGGTCAGTTCTGCGCACTTGAGGTTCAAGCTGGAGAACTTGGAGTGCCAATCTCGGAAGCGCTCGCTGCATAGGGACTTTGTAGGTGCTTGGTAGACTACTTTGAAGCGTTCGTCTTTGAGGGTATTCAGGAGTCTGCAGATGGCCAATTCCATCACCACTGTCTTGCCGCTGCCGGTTGGTGCGGATAGGACGATGTTATCATTGCTGTTGTAGACGGAGTGGAAGGATTTGGATTGAATGGCATTGAAAAGTGGGAAAGGAAACATCGAGCTGTAGTTCTCTGGTAAGTCATTCACTGATACGAGGACGATTCCCCGCACAGATGGTGGTATATTGCTAAACACATTTTGACGTTGTCTATTGACAGTCAAAGCCTCGGGGCTCGCTTGTGCGATCAGTTCCTGAGGTGAGCTCTGACTAGTCCCGTCATTGTAAGGGCCACGATTCGTCTCAAGATTTCGCTGTCCCATCCGCATACCATCTTTCTTCTGACGGAACAAAGCCAGTGGGCTCGAGGGAGGCCCTAACACAGGATCCGATGAACTAGATCCATTCCAGCGGGAAGAAGGGATACTCGAGCTTGCTATTATTTGTCAATCCCGAATGATCAAGACAGAAACACCAGCACCCGTATACAAGCAACTCACGCTGAAAAAAACGAGAGAATTGAGGTGCCTGTAGATCAGGTTGACGAGAGGTTTGAAGCGGCGTAGATCTAGTAACCTCCTCTCTATCATCCGAGGCTAGTAGTTCCAGGTCTAGCTTGCATCAGCACCCGCCATGATGATAAGTCGGCAGACTCACCGAAAGCATCCAATTCAGCGTCCTCATCGTGAGCTGATGATTTCAGGTCAGTGAAAGGTTTACAGAGGGACGAGCTGTTGGATTGTGGTTGTTGGGAGTCATTGATCAGTGTCTGATGCATCGTGCCGGCTCCACTGCTCTTGTATGGTGAGGCGGCATTTGTGGGCCGCCTCAAAGATGGCAATTGAAATGGTTTGAATTTTGAGGTTTGATTGTTTCTTCGCATTTTGAGATGTTATCGATAATTGGGATTGAATATGGGGGTTTGGAGTGATGAATTGCGAAGGTGTTTGGTTCCAAGGTCCATGATCCCGATAACGTGACGGCACGTGGACCACTCATATCTTTCTAGTATATGAACATACTGTAGGGGTGTCATGTCGAAATCAGTAAGAGCAGGAATTGTTAAGTATTGTGGGGTATATGGAAGTGTTTCATTGCTTCGTATATATGCATACATGAGCCAAAGGCAGCAAACATCTTGACAGCAAAAGGACATGCAAAACTGGGCTGGGAAGAGGCGCTAGCTCCAAATTAGGAGCGACATCAAGAATAGTAAAAGGGTGCGGCTGGCGACTTTCTTGAAGACCGCACTTACATCCGCATCTATCAGGCATCCAACATCATTTCCCGTAAGGAAGCATCTCATCACGTAGGTCAATATCAATGTGCATAGCAAGGTACAGCAATCATTTCTCATCGAAATAGCTCGCGCTTGCATTCCGGCTAGAGCTTACTCTAGTATGGCCAGGTGCTGGTGAGGTAGGACGGGATGACGACATGCCGTCAGAGAGGAACGGTGAGGTTGGAAGTTTGATAGAAAAGTCGTTTGGAGGCGCCACAGGGGAGCCGTCGGGACCCGCGGGGTCCTTTTCGTAGGCGTCGATGCAGATTGGAGGCGGACGCAAGGAACCTATTGCAGGGTTGAATGTGGGGTTTCCATAGTAGTGGGTTGCTACCAGGACTGCAGCCGAGCCCAGGAGGAACTATAATGTCTTAAGTTAGTTTGGTTCACAATGTGCATGTGGAGGGAGGCTGGGAAGTGTTAGGGGACGTACGCTTGCAGTGACTTCAAAGTCAAATAGCCAGATGCTTCCAACAATACTCAAGATTATGTTGGCGGTTGTGGCCAAACTCCTTGCATCCTTCTGGGCGTGGCTGACGTAGAATGCAGAAACGATACCACCCAAGGCCTGGATGATGATAGTAGACCACACCGCCCAATTGTAGCCCTGGAAGAAGCCATCTTCGGCGATTTTTTCGCCATCCCGGAAAACAATTCCAATGAAGAGAGCCGGGAAAACGGAGTAGACGGCTAATTGCACATTGCGGACCCACAACGAGATGTGGTTCGAGCTGTCCTTGAGGACTTTCTCGAAATAAATTCCCGCAAGTCCGGAAGCCAAGGACGCTCCGATAGTCGCAAGGAGACCAATTGCGGGGTTCAAGTGTGGGTCGGCTGTCAGGATGTCCTCTTCGATACCTTCGTATGTTGCAGACCGCTTGAGCAAACTGCTGCCAGAGCCAGCACCTTGCTTAACAGCCTTCCACTCCTCCAAGGATCGAGGGAAATGATGACTAGCGTGATCATCCTGCAGCATCTGCTCGGGGCTGGCATCGGGGATTTGCACCAATGCCACGCCCACAACGAGAAGCAAAAGCAGGCCCCACTTTCGGGCGGGGATGCTCCGTTTCAGGAGCATCAGACCAAAGATCGCAGTGGTAAGGAACTTCAGCTGGAATGTAATCTGGAACGACGCAGCTCGTAGGTTCGAGAGCGCAATGTACAGGAGGGAGTTGGACAAGACGTCGAGCGCGGCAGGGATAGCGAGTTTCCAGCTGTCGCCTGAGAACACGGCGCTTGTGAGGGAGAAAAAAAGAGAGGTGGCAGGCATCGAGGGTGGTGCGGTTTTGGAGACGTCGTAAAGCGCCATTGTGAGGGAGATGGCCAGCTTGACCACTTCGACTAGGAAGACCGCCGTAGAGGTCAGGTAGCGTTTACCACCGGCGGGGGGCATAACTCGAGAATAATGAGCTAGCTAGAATATGGTGAAAATACAGATTAGCCTCCCATTCCTAACAAGGATTTCCCATGTCGCGCATGGTGGCTTACCAAAACAAACGCAGTCGACTCCGCCGTGAACTAGAAAGAAACCGGGGTAGGTAAGCGAACAGGTCCCCAAGCCGCAAAGGCCATGCAATGTCCAACAAGGTCGTACCAGAATCCATGGCCCAAGACTGGCTGCAGCTCGAAGCCCAGATGGCTTGCGTTGGGCGCGCTCTCCCATAATGAAGTAGTAGGTCGCGTGTTCCCTCTAAACAGTGGCTAATGTTTCCACAAAAAGGGCACGCAGTGCAATCCCCAGTCCGGTGAATGTGGTAAATGAATTCAGTGGAGGGAGCAACGAGAAAAGTGTGTACGATGTAGAGCAAACTGTAAATCCCAATTCGCGAACCAGGGGTGTGGGTTGATCTTCCCTTTTAGGCCCCGATAGGGTTTCCCGAGGCGATCGGGGGCGATGTGGGTGGCTGGGAGGCGAAGGAGGGGATGGGTATCGGCTAACTCCACTGTATGAAGGAGGGTATGTCGAAGAACTTGGAAAAGAACTTGGAAAAGAAAAGGAAAGGATAGAGCTCAGGAAAACAGTAATCTGGGGTTATAGACGAGAAGGTCGGCGGTCAAAGAGTCGGGTGGATCAGAGAGTCACCAAAGGTTCGAGCGCTGGAGTTTTTCTCTACACTAGGTAAGTGTGTACAAATATATGAAGTACCTCATTTACAGGAATCTCATATCATATTTACAATGTCTTGGACTCAAATTTTGGCCTTAACCTTGATGTTGATGACGTCGAGCTATCCAGGGCATCCCCACCACATCCACAGCCCCCATTATTATTCCTTCCATGTCGTCATTCGTCAATATTCTCTACTCTATAGTTTCAGATTGATTATTCTAGACATTTATACACATCTGAAGAGATATACACAAAAGACAAAAGACAACATGTTCACATCCTCCGAGTCTTAGTTATACCGTTAAGTACAGAAGTCATATAAGCGGCAAGCTATTTTTTTTTTCTATATAAACAACTAACTTAATATAGATATAAACTGGTCATTGGGAGGGTAATATAACAATTCAAAGGCGCTACAATGATGGGATAACTTCAAAAAAGAGATATGAGCGGTGAATCCTGAAATCCAATAGGACCAAAGTCCCTAGTGGTCGCTATGCATTGCGACATACGACCAAAGCTAAGCTTCCATTTCGGGGCAAGACTAGGTGGAGAATGGGACAAGAACATTGTACAAGTTCAGTTGATGAATTGGTGATCATTGAGAATATGAATGACAACAGTCATGAACCGGAAATAATGAAATCGTGAGAAAGGCACGAAAATCACTCAAGTTAAACATGATAGCAGGTACAGAAGCCTGTGTGAACGCTAATTCAAAAAAAAGGAATGAAGAGACAGTGAGAAGTGAGAAGAGAAAAAGAAGAGGGGTCATGTAGGAAAGGGACGAGTGAGGTCTATGTGGTTGGGTAAACAGATGCTTGCAGTGGAGTGCTGCAAGATGCAATCAAGTCAAGGAAATGTAGGAAAGACTGTAGGAGGTCAGATCAAGTAGGAATACAGAGGGAGTGAGAGAAGAGTGAAATAGGAAATGTAGGGGGTGGAGTGAGGGTGTTGGGTATCAAGGGCCAAGCGATCAGTGCATAGAAGCGATATTAGCGCTTTCGCGGTTCCAATCAAAGTCGAAAGACCAGAGAGGAAGACCGTTGTTGCCTTTCGACTCAGCGCCATCATCTAGTAGGATAGCCTCACTGCTATCGGTGCGTCGGCGGGTGTGTTGCTTCTGGTCTTCGGGGATGGCAGGCGGGGGCCCTCTTGGGGGTGGCTTTGGAGAGGGAAGCGGCGAGAAACGATGAATTGGCAAAGTGGGGGTCATCGGTGAAGCACCGCTGGTGGAAGGGGAGGGCAAGCTCTCCGAGTAGTCCGCACTGAAACCAGAAGAGGAAATTTTATTGCGGGGATTCCGTTCACTATCCGACCCCGAGCTTTGGGAGGGCGTTCCATCTTTGTACAGGGTAGCACCTTTTTCCGACCGGATGTCGAATGGCGGGAATACATTGCTGAGACGCAGGAATGAGGTGTCGGATCCGCAGAAGGAATCGCGGGATGGGCCAGAGGCTAGTGATCTTCCGTCCGCTCCATGGGCATTGAACAGACTCGGTGTGACCTTGCCCTTTCGAATACGCATCGCCTCGAGGAGATCTTGCTCTTGACGAGTCACAGCGATCACACGACTCCTCCGGTTCAACTCTTTCAACTCTGCAGGGGAGCGGAGAGGCTGCTGGGGGAATTGCGCCAGAATCTCATCCGGGATAGTGGGAACTCCGCTCGAACGGCGAGTTTGCGTGGTCCGTCCAGTTGTTTGAGACTTGCCATTTGAGGATTGAGAAACCTTTCGTGGCCGAGGTACTGGCACTGGCAGGCTATTTTCGGTTTGGCGGGAACCACGGGTGCTAGTCGAGAGTTTCCGGTCAAAGCGTCTGGCCGCCGTGGCAGTGGTCGCGTGGGCAGTGGAAGCCGTGTAGACCTGGGGATCGTATTCGTCGCAAGTAGCCACACTGTCTCTTCTAGACTTGCTCGTATTGCGCTTTGACTCGGTGGTTGGAGTTTGATCCTCGTCACCTTCGTCCTCGGAAGAAGAAGAGAGGCAAAGCATACTGATGTTTCGCAGATCTTTGTTTTTCAAGGTGCTTTTGCTGCTCTTCTTGGTCAATGAGCTCTTCTCGCTCTTTGATTTTGACTCATTGGTCTTCCAAGATTCCTGGGACGTGCTTAAGCCGCGACCACGCTTTAGGTCTGGACATGTGGAAGGACTCAAGTACGTCTCCTTAGGTCGAGAGGAGCTGTGAGCACGTCTTGAGCTCTTCTGAGGTTCCTGGGGGCGTTGCTGTTCTTCCTGCAATTTCTCGCGGCTAGTAGTATACATGCTTGAGCGACTCAAAAGTGATCGTCGCCCCGCATATCGATCCAGGGCCAAATCAATTTCACTCGTCCCTACGGTCCGCTCAAGTGATTGCTCCAACCAGTCGCTATTTTTGCTCTCTGCAATGGAAGGCAAATCCGAATTATCACCACCATGCTTGGGTGGGTCATTTTTGGTGATCGAAGGTCGACGAGGGGGAGGTGGATCGACGTATCTCCTCGTAGTAGAATTGCTTGTACCGCCGGTCATCCTTTCAATCTTGTTGGTAGAAGAATCCGGGACAACTGTAGAGACGGGGGAAGGGGAGTTGACCATTCGGTGGGGGGAAAGAAGTGTTTGTTGTGTGGGACTCCGCGGCTTCGGGAACAAGACGGAAAGATCGATTTTTGGAGGACGCATCTTCCGCTTTGACTCTTTCGGCGGAACTTGAGCCTGCGTGTATGTCACTTCTGGCTGACTCCCGAGTCCATGTCGTACTCTAGGTTGGAGTTGGTTCTTGGGCGATTTGGGTGATTTGGAGGATTCTTTGGAGCTGAAATAGGAGAAAAGGGTGGACGAGGAACCAGAATGGTGAACCTTTTTCGACGGCTTCGGGAGCGGCGGTGCGGCTTCTTGCGATCGGTAGTCATGGCCCAGCAGAGGTGAGGAAGCCCGTACGCGAAGGTTTTGATCGGGGGGAATGAGTGTGTTTTCTGAAGAGCGCGGGAACGGAACGAAGCCCGTGTTCTGCTTAGGAGCACTATCGGGTGGCTTCACAAAGTTCGGCCGGGGTACATTTGGAGGCTTCTGCCACCCGCCATGTTCCGTAGGAAGTGATATGTCGGTTCCAAAAAATCTTTGGGCTTTCGAGGTTCGCCGGTCGATTCGGGTCTGGTCCTGGGTACTCATTGGGTTGTGTTGTGCCGGTTTGCGACTCGATGTTCGAAGCGGCACATGGACCGGTGTGATCTCTCGGTGTCCCATGGTGGGAGAGGGTGCAAGTTCAATTGCTCATAAAATCGTATGATATGATGGGCTCATGGGTTCACGGGCTCTGGGTGCGCAAAATATATGGCGGCTCAGCGGAACCCAGGTGGTTCAAGTAGTCGACTCAAATCTACTCCACCAAATTAGTTAATTAAGTCTGCAATTTAGGGGAAATTGAGCTAGGCGTCAACGTACCTGTGAAATAGAGATAATTGTTTGATGTTTAGGTAGTGACTCGGGATTTTTGGTGAGGGGTATAATTTTTGTGAAATAAGAGATCCGAGCAAAATGCGTGACAGGTTGGGGTGGATGTTTTTTTTTGTACAACAACGTCGACAAGATAAATTATTTAGAACCTTGGAAGGATTTCCTATTCCTACGGGTCTTAAAGGGGGAGGAATCCACAAATGTCTTGAACAAAACCCTCATAGGCTGAAAAGCAGTGTTTCATTTATTCCAATTTTAATTGCGAGTGGAGCACGGCATCTCCAGAGCTGATCGACATACGATATTAGAAATATTAGAAATAGTCCGTACGGGGTATAGGATGTGATGGCCTCGGGGGGTTCCAGGATTGCTTGTGATAGCAGCGAATATGATCAGGGGTTTACCATGTCGATTTGTTATGTACCTATAGGGACTACAGATCATGCTATATAGCATGCATTTGCATCACACTATTATTCTTGGAACAGGAACATTCTAGATCTCATATTTAACCCAATAGGAGATTTAACCCCCTTACTGCGGTATCTGCAACCTAAAAAAAAAAGCCAACTCCCCATGAAGAACGTGGTGGCTTTCTCCCGTATTCTCCGTGGATGTACACTATTGACGCCTACGAAATCCTACTCACATCCTTGCCGTCGCTAATTGGAATTATTTATCTTCTCCACTCATTTAGCTATCCAATCCCCTCCTATCCACTAGCAAGGACGCTTTTTCCCTAATCATAAGCTATCGCCAGAATGTGGGGTCCACTCGAGGGCTAGAGCCAAAAATTATGGAGAATTGCAGTACAATGGCTGATGCCAATGCACCAAAATTCAAACCTGCTACTCATACTCCGTATGTACGGTCGCGTCTGAGAGCCAAGATCGACAAATCGATCGTTCACACAATGCGCCAGAGCGAAGCTCTCTAAGATCTCGCTATGCATAAAGGCCCCAGTATTACAGATGAGGTCTGCTCCACACAGTGTCCCTCCGTGACAAATATCCGTGGACTCCGTAACCGTAACCGTAAGCCTCCCATCCTCCCCCCTTAGACCCTGAGGCAGTGAAATTTCGACTAAGAATACTCACGTTTCCCGGGTAGCCATCGCACATGCATGTACAAAAGGCTCATAGGAACTGGTAATGATCGACCTGCAGGTGGGCTCCTCTTTTAAACTCAACCTTCCACATGTGCTGGGAAAGGAAATGAACTGAGACATGAATTTAATCGTTTGCCGCTGACAGCTTTGACAGCCCATTTGCGAATTAAATACATACGGGGCAAGTCGCAAAGGCATGGACCGGGATGCTATATTATAATAGTCGGCGACTAAGACAGTAATCTCCCTAAAAATAAAAAGGCACAGACACTATAAACAAACTTTGTGTCCTGCAACCAAGCCCATGTGCCGCGTCTTAGACCCACGAGGTGGAACAAGTAATGATGACACTCCGGGGGCGCAATTTCACTCAGATCGAGATCCTTGTTCCTTGTTCATCCGAGATCGATTCACCGAACGCCGATCAACCTCCCTATACAGAATTAGCGGTTTTCGGTCTGCCGCTCCGACTTCGCGCGTGCGAAATAATAGCATTATGCTGATGGAAATGAACAACATAATCTCTGAATAACGGTTAGAAACACGACTTGAAAAAAAAAATTACTTAGGCCACATTTTAGCCTGAGTCCAGTCAAAAAAAAACACTATTAAATCCAGGTTATTGGTTTGGCAGGTGACTAAAGTGGTCATGTGGATACCCCCCCCCCTGATGGTCGCCAATAGTCGACTCCAATAGCCTCTAGTATGGCTCATACGTTCCATGGGTTTGGTTACGCTCTATTGTCGATCTATTGTCTGCTGTGCGGATCAGGGAACGAAAATCAGGGAAATCCTCCACATTTGACATCCCACTTTCCAAAATTTGAGGCTTTACTTCGTAAATCTTTTTGCAAAAATGTACAATGTACAACCCTGACCGGGGCATCCAAATAAGATGGGCCAAGAGTAGCAGAGGATAAAGCATAACCATCTATATGAACAAGTATAGAAGGGTTTCCATCGCAAACCTTCTATTTACTTGGTCAAAGCTAGCTACATATCTATCCCATTACTCTAATATGTTGTGCATCGAGAGGTTCAGTCTCATGAACTGTGCTGCATTTGAAACGGCCCAGCATTCTGGAAGGAGTGGATATGTATCCAAAGATTTGGCAAACACTAGTCCTATACTCCGTAAACTACTGAGTCCATTCCTCCATTTAAGCTTCATCTTCTTGGCCTCCCGGGGAGAAACAACACCTGCAAACCCCTCTTCATTCTTCGAATCCAGCAACCCCTTCGACACGCTGCTTGAGGTCTGCCCCTCGAAGAAATATCCATTGGCAGAAGGGTTAGAGCGCACCCGCTCTCAAAGTTTAGGTTGCCAGCGAGGGTCGATGGTATTATACTACTCACCAGACTCACTTAGCAGAATACTGAATATGGGTACACCAGACCGGGAACAATGTGAACGAATCAGTGACAGGGGGTTTGGTGTTGCAGGCTGGGATTGTCTGGTTGAGACAGAATTTAGTGTTCCCCAGCTTTATGGTGATGTTCCATCTCTTTGCCATCGACTGATGTCATGATGCCAAGTTTCCAGATACTGTGGACTGCTGCACGAGCCTCGTCGTCGGTGCAATCTTGTTAATATTAGATGAATGCTTTGAAGAGTGACGGTTGTTCTTACTAAGTTGTCCGACCAATTGCCAATTCAAAGTTGGTGTTGCTCCAGTAATAATGACAAGGTAGATTGTTCTGCGTGTTCGGATAAGCTTAACCACTTGTTTCATCAGGTCACTGTCAAATTCGTGCCCGATCAAGCAGCTGTAACAGTAATGTATATCTGGAATTCGTTCGTCCTTTGCAAAGTAATAGCCATAGCACAGGGTTGCTGCCATTCTTTGCAATTGGCACATTGTATCTTGCAAAGTTGGTTAAAACAGTTCACTTAGTTATTTGATACCATAGCTTCGTGACTTACAGACTTCCAGGTTTTGAGTTCCAAGTGTTACACTCACATCGGGAGTGCCGCTGATTCTTATGTCCATACTGAGTCATGCTGCCCTTTGGCCCGGGCCGATTCTCTGTTGTCCTTGTTCTCCCCATCAAGCTTCTTGGTGGCTCCATGGCTGTTCTCGACATAGTCTACTGTGCTTGCTTTGACAGTGGGTTTTGACCCCGCGGTCTACAAACGACGAATGTATTTCTCCGGGGAAAAGTCTTTTTCGACACTTTCTACGAGTCTGGAATAGGTGAATGCTTTCGCGGCTAATGGGAAATGCTGCTTCATCCTCTGGTCAATTCAGAGGTATCCTAGATTTGCTCGAGTGTTCAGGGCGAGGTAGTCTTGCGACAAATATGGCTTCTGGAGAGTTATCTGAATCAACTTTGACGGACTCAGCCACTACCTGAGCCTTCTTATGCACCCAAGACCGATCGTTTCCAAGTCTTCTTGATTGAAGAAGATTATGTCCTTCACTTTATCTTCGTCTACTGAAAGCTAGCACTCCTTTAATGGTTTAGATAGCAGCAGCAGCAGCAACGGCAAACTGACATATCGTCGTGATTCTCTGCCTTTCATCCTAAAAGTCATCATCGTGGATTTGATTGGAGAGTATTGAAAATCTAATAACTCTTTCAAAGTGAAGCAAAGACGCATATTTACCATCGGTGGCACCGGCAGTGCTTTCATCGGAGAAGACATATATCTCTCCGACTACGTCCAACGGCATTTGAGCAGGCGTGGGGATTCCGACCTCGTCAGAACGGAGCATTATATCGTCGTTCGCTTCCTCCACCGAAGGGAAAAAACCCTCGCCATCGGGCGAGGTAGAAAGAAGAGAATTCACTCTTAATCTGAGTCTTCCGTATGTTAGACCTGAGCCTCAATCAAGCCAAAGCAAATCCTAAGAAATTATGAAGCGAAATAAAGAACCATACGTGTGGAAGTCGCTGTCGACACTTCCGTAAAAGCGCCTCGTCGTCTCCCAGTATGAAGTCCGTGGGTATTCAATAGTGTTGTCCTGGAAATCAGCAAACCCAGGAACGTCGTAGGATCTGGAGCATTCCGGTTTGTAGAATACATGAATTCCCAAGCTGCGCTTGTCCATTCAAGCCGTGAGTGGTAACACCAGGAATGGGTAACAATAGAGTGCACATACTAGGTAATGGCGGACTTTCAGCACACATTGTTTTCAACCGTCGGACGGATGAGGGCCTTCCCTTCGAAAATCATATTACGCATTCTCGCTCGATCCTCATAGGGACTGAAAAAATCCATCCTTGGGCTGTTGGTTAGGCGATCTGTAGTGCCGCGCTCACAAAGATTGTCGAAGGTGAAAGTGTAAGTCTCCAGAACTTTATTTGGCGAGTCTTCGTCCGCAATGACAGTAAACTGGACGGCATGTAGCACGCCTCTTAATAGTACACCAAAGATGCCATTTTCCTAGAAGAAATGGATATTAGCACTGATTAATGAATATAAATACATTGAGGGATTCACTAGAAGGTCGAGAAGCTGATTGGCTTCATCATTCATGTGTCTTTCAATCACTCATATAGGAACATACTCCAATCGGTTACGTCCGAAATTGCCCTTGTTCTTCCCATTTACAAAATGGGCATAGTTAAAGCGCTCGTGAAAGCGGTTTACTCGCAGAATCCGCTCGCCGAAGGCATCCATGGGCAATAATCCACTCCACGCTTCAGAACGCGGATAATACATTCCAAGGTTATTTAGGTCAGGACTAACCGCAGAAATAAGAGCGATGTTATAAGGCGCATATTAGATCAGCCACAAAAGCATGGACCTTGTGGGAAAATGGACTTACGGTCATATGTAGCGTTATCTTCATTAACTCCAGACTTTGCTCCTATTATACCATAAGAGTTGGTTGGGTTCATCTCGGGTGCTATTGATTCAGTAGGACTACTCACGATCACGGGAAACCGGTGGATTTTATCCGCTTGAATTTCGGGCTGTTGTGCGCCGGACTTGGAGACAACCTTTAAAGCTACAGTTTTCTTAAAGCGAGACATGACTCTGGTAGTATGAGTATGATAGACCGAAAACGAGAATTAAACATTGTAATGGGAAAATACTAGGATAGTATATTTCTATGCGGAATGCGGATAAAGAGGTACAAAGAAAAATTTAGAACGGCGAGCCCTAAGAATAAAATCCCTGCTACCTCAGTCGCTAGACATCAACAAAGAATGCCCTAGTTATATCTTGAAACATCTTAGCAAGTCTATACATAGACACTGGAAGCAACAGCCACCCTAATTTGACCAAGGATGTAATGGCTGTATAGAGCCTATGGTTAATAGTCTACCGGTTCTTTTACTCCAAAAAATTTTCTTTTCTCGCATCAGAAATCTGCAAACCTCTCTTTGCACTGAAATATATATTCGGATATATTCGGACAGTTTTGTCTGCTATCGGGTTTCCAGCGAACAAGAGGCCGGGTGATTCGAAGTCAAGAGATATTTGTCCATAACCCTATCACCTGTCAAGATGAGTATAATATTGCGAAATATTATCGATCAAGGATATCATAGGAAGCAGGGCTGAAGAGTTGTAGTACGTAAAAGCAACCAAACCCTAAATAGATGTGGGGGGACCTCGGGAGGCCGAGACATCTCAGATATCAGTGGATATTCCATCTGGGCAAGATGTGACTTGCATAGAGTAAGTAGTAAGGGGCAACAGTATACAAGATGATTATTCCATACCCCTGTGCCCTGTGTCTTATGCCCAATGAGCCCCTAGGAAATAATTTCAACATAATGAGATACAACCTGCCAAGAAGCCACCCGAGACACGCCCCCACCTCACGTGATATGTGGCGATGGCAAATCAAAAACTTGATAGTTACAACTTGATTTAGATGAATATATTACAATAAACGGTCGCTCATGTGGTTGTGTCATGTCTTTTTGGTTGGTCTTTTAGGCTCTTTTTAGGTGTGTATGAAGGCAGTAAAAAGTATGGACTGTGCAGAGAACTTTTCGATATATATTATTTAGGGGCAAATATGGATATATTAATCTATTACGTTGTCAACGATATGGGTAAAAAGGACATCTGGAAGTCCACCTGCTTATCTGACTGTCATTATCCTCGGTCCCACCTCTATCTAGTGATTTCTGCCGGTCTAGAGCAGAACCAGGGGGGGGGGGGATTTCTTCAGGTTTCACACTCGGATCATTTTGGATTCAACATAGACAATAAAGGTAGAATATTTAATATATGAATAAATTTCCAACAAAATAAGCACAGAATCTACAAAAGTCAAGAAAATCAAGAAAATAAAAATAAAATCCAAAAAATCAAATTGTAGCACGTTGGGCCATGACATCGTCCACCTACGGGAACCGGAATAAATGTTGTTCTCCGCCCCAACTCCTTGTCAGCCGCCACTGTTTCTTTCTCCCCTTCCCTTTGCTTCCTTGCTTCCATTATTTGTGTTTTTGTTTCCACCCCCTAACAACATTGATCTTGACTATTCTCCGTCCTAACATGTGCTGAGTGCCCTTTGCATCGATGGTTCCGCTGGTGTATCGTGCTGAGGGGGTGTTTTGCTAAAAAAAAAAAGAATCTGGGAAATCACTGTTCCTTTGTCTTCTTGCATGAGCTCGCTTTACAATGACTTCAAATGCTCCTACTTCCGTTCAAATATCTGAGGTCGACTCGGCTTTGACCGATCACAACGCGTCTGTATCTTCGCCCTCTCATGCGACCCACAGCCCCGGATCTCGATTCACCCACCCTCGAAAACACGAAATGGACGAAAGAGAGGAGCTGGGCCAAGGGTCATCAAATGCGGCTATCGGACAGTTCGCCTTTGCCCCTACTACCAGAACTACGGTGGTGACAACCACCACAACCACCACAACCTCCTTCCCGCCTCTGACTATCAACCCCCCGCGAGCCGTCAAGGATCTGGATGCCCGACAGTACCCTCTCGCCTCATCTCCGACTCCAGCGGCCTTAAGAAACCTCAAGTTCAAGATCGGCGACAAGTCGATCATCTTTAACGAGCCTGAGGATACCACAAATGCTGCCGCCGAGGTACGATTCTACGCTACCCTCTTCGTTCCCATGGTTGCGATGCTCACAGTATGATAATATATAGTACAAGGAGAGAAGCGAGGCGTTGAAAGGTTCCAACGGCCAGATTCGCTCTGTGAACTCGTTCATCTCCGAGGGCGAGAACCCCACTCGTCGGCTGACCCCTCCGAGAATAGCGAGTCAACCTTCTAGTCACCCGTTCAACAATCGCCGTCGTGCCGTCTCCCCTGTAACACTGTTTGATGCTCGACCTTCGGTTCTTCCGCGAACCCGCCCGTCACGAATTCCCTCTGAGCACATTACACGCCGTACTCGCCAAAGTGGCGTGGGATCAACTCATCTTGCCGCTGGCCTTGCCACCCCAGACACTGAAAGCAATTTGGGGGGAGTTAGTGAAAATGTAGCCCCAAGACCGAGGATTCATAGCTCGGTGTTTCCGCGCAGGGAACCTCCTTTGCCGTCACCTCTCTCCTCTGAAATCGGAGCTAAAGGCTTGCAGGCATCCAATCAAAATTCCTACTTGCAGAATGCGTTGTCCGAGATTCGTTCAAACCCCGAAACTCAAGAGTCGCAGGCCACTGAAGCATATGAGAATGGCTCAACTGCACATGAATCGGCTTCATTTGATGATACAACATACGGAACCCAGGAATCTGCAACGCAAGAACGACCTGAGCTTATGTCTCAACTATCGGCAATAGACAATGCCATGGCGCAAGATATGTGCCTCCCGAGCCCGAGTCTCTCACCGGTCGCTGCTATGAATGCCCTCCATGGCGAATCCTCCTTCGAGTCAGAAGGGCTTGACGTTGACACAGATTCCAGTCTAGATCATAATGTCTCGCGTTTCTCAAAGGCATTGCGGCTTCAAGATGCAGATGAGACTCGGGTAAATGGTCATTCTCTCGCAAACTCCCGGTCACCTTCCTCACTTTTAGATATGCCCAAGGTGTTGGAGTTCTTTGATTCGGTGCCTGATGAGGTCAAGACGTATCTCATGTATCAATTCCTTCGGAGATGCCCTAAGCCCACTCTCCATTTCGTGGCCGATGTGGTTAACCCAACTTTGAAGTGCGACTTCCTAACTCTCCTGCCGCTTGAGCTCAGTCTCAACATCGTCAAATACCTTGATGTTCAGACCATGTGCCGTGCTGCGCAGGTGTCTAAGAGGTGGAGACACATCACCAATTCTGATGAAAAGAGCTGGAAGAACCTCCTTGACCAAGATGGATATCATCTCTCAGATGGAGAACTAGAACGGGCTATAAGACAGGGGTGGGGATGGCAGTTGTCCAGCGGCCCTGAAGATCACGAGGAAGATCTCAGCGTTGTAGCCCTATCCAGTGCAGATATGGAGGCATCCCCTGTCCCTTCGATGGCGGGTCCCAGCAGCAGAAGCCCTCTGGGAACTCTGCCGATCAACCGACGAGGCAAGCGGAAAGCAAACACGCGTGCTTCAAGCCGGAAGCTCGCTAAGCGGAAGGTCTCATCCAGTGGAGGAGAAGTTGCCGATCCAGACTGGAGGAAAGATATTGCTGCGTCCGAGGCCCCATACGCTGCTGCCAACGCTGCAGCCGCCGCAGTGCCCTATGCTGAAGTGGGTCTACCGTCTCTCCGTGGGCTGTTCCTCTTCAAGGTCCTCTACCGTCGCCATGTTGCCATTCACAAGGGATGGATGCAACCGGATGTCAAGCCACAACATATTGCTTTCCGTGCTCATGACCGCCATGTTGTTACTTGCCTGCAATTTGACGCTGACAAGGTTCTTACGGGAAGCGATGACACTAATATCAACGTGTACGACACCAAAACAGGTGCATTGCAGGCAACGTTGGAGGGCCACGAAGGTGGAGTGTGGGCTCTTGAGTATCATGGCAACACGCTAGTCTCTGGCTCTACTGATCGCTCAGTGCGAGTCTGGGACATCGAACGGGCAAGGTGTACTCAGATCTTCCACGGCCACACCTCCACCGTCCGATGCTTGCAAATAGTCCTGCCTGCCGAGGTAGGTAGGGATGCAAGTGGTCAGCCTGAGATCATGCCTAAAGAACCATTGATCATTACTGGGTCTCGTGACTCGAACCTTCGGGTGTGGAAGCTTCCCAAATCCGGTGACCCAGTCTACTACCAGAGTGGTCCTACAGTGGATGACGCTAGCTGTCCATACTTCATGCGTGTGCTCTCCGGCCATCAGCACTCTGTTCGTGCAATTGCAGCCCACGGTGATACCCTGGTGAGTGGTAGCTACGATTGCACGGTGAAGGTCTGGAAAATTTCCACCGGACAGACTTTACACACTCTGCAGGGTCACTCGATGAAAGTGTACAGCGTGGTTCTTGACCATAAGCGCAATCGTTGCATCAGTGGAGCCATGGACCACATGGTAAAGGTGTGGTCGCTAGACGATGGAGCCGTCCTATACAACCTCGAAGGCCATACCTCCCTCGTTGGTCTGCTCGCTTTAGAGCATGATTTCCTTGTCTCGGCTGCCGCTGATTCCACCCTCCGAATCTGGGACTCCGTGCATGGCCACTGCAAGAACACTTTGAGTGCACACACCGGTGCCATCACTTGCTTCCAGCATGATGGGCAGAAGGTCATCTCGGGGTCTGATCGGACACTGAAAATGTGGGATGTACGAAATGGCGAATGTGTTCGGGACCTCCTCACAGACCTAAGTGGCGTGTGGCAAGTCAAATTTAATGACCGGAGATGTGTTGCTGCAGTGCAGCGTGACAGTTTGACTTATATCGAAGTAAGTGTTCTCTGATGAGGCTGTCCCATCCTTTATGCTAATATTACTTCCACTCAGGTTCTCGATTTCGGTGCCGCACGGGATGGAGTCCCGGAAAGCAAGCTTGCGAAACGCATTGTCGTCAACCGACGTGGGCAGGAGGTCCTCGGCGGAATCGAAGATGACGACTCCTTGTCTGATTGAGATGGCTAGGCCGCATTTCTCTTCGAC